GAACTTAGATATAATTATTTCAATCAGTGCCAAAGGTCTTGAGAATATAAATTTTAATTTGATAATGACTGGGTGGAACATGTTATGTTTCTTAAACTGGTGTAATTTGATTCCTACGAAAGTCTTTGTTCGAATTTTGGGAAAAATTAACTTTGTCATGATGATTTCAACATGAAATGGGGTACATTTGGGGGTTAGTTGCTATAGCCTCTTTGGGATCATGGGGCACCCGGATGTGAACCGCTGCTGTGTTGCAATGTAGATAGGTTAATTTCTTCAATATCTTTGAAATTTACAACAGCGGACAGATAGCAAACGCAAAATATGAAAAAGTGCTTTCTATAGTTGGCTACCATACAAACTTTAACCTATGGGAGCCCATACTCACTTTCATTTTCGCAGTATTGGCCTTTGTATTTTATAAGTTAAAAGAAATAGAAATTACAACAACACAACAAAATGTAGGAACTTAATAGAAACACGTAAATTTAGCAATAAGTTTCATTAGAGTTTGAGTTAATTGAGATCGGGGTCATTTTATCAATCGGCTTTTTGCCACCGGGTGAATTTACATATCATTAACACACCATTCGATGACAGCTATGATTTTCATTGATTAATTGAAAAGGAGGTAAAATATATTTTTAGTATGCTACGTTTAATTTTCTTCTTTTGATTTTCCGAAATATTTATTAGGACTTGGGAGCAATAAAATGACTGAACTACCTTGTCAGGCGGTAATTGGTAATTCCAAGGACCACCAACCTTTATGAAGCCGAGGGAAACTTCCTGTAGCTATGGGATGCCCGTTGGATGCACTTGTTGGATATTACTATTAATAGTATTTAACCACCAGGAGACACTGATAATGTTAAAGATTTTTTATGAAATTATCATCAATTATAACAGTCTAGGAAACCACAATGTACATGCTTTTTTAACAAACGTATACGTGCGGTCTTTACGAGCGGCGCGATTTTGACCCAAGGCCTACTCTAATAGGCACACACTCCGCATCTTTATACTGCACTGTAGGCTAAGTAGGTAGACAATAAGGTAGGTAGGCAATAGGAAAGAAAGCAATGCCTGACTCATACATTAAGCGCGACGTTCCTATAAGGCGAACGATCGATTTTGGTGGGGAAAACGTATTCAAAACGCCCCTTATAGTCCGTAAAATACCCCATTATTTAGATTCATGCTTTTGACTTCATTTACTAATGTCTCATTGCAGTGGTTCCAAACCTCTCATGGCTTCTGGCCCCCTTTTTGTATACTTTAGCACTCCTCGCTCTCTTGTTTTTTCTTTCCAAAAATACAAGAAAGCGGGCATTGCGCACTTTCTAGAGCTAGGATATTTACTTTGGTAAAGCCAAGGCAACCTAATTGTCGTTCAATTCGTTGGAAATATTGAAATTCAAATAAATAAAATTTGCGTCTACAATACGTGTATGACGGCTATCTCGCAGTCAGCGTAACTGAAGATTATGACCCATATCTGCAGGACAGAAGGCCAGCCAACCAACGATGTTCCTAGGGTTTTGTTTTTTATCAATTCTAAAAAAACATCGTGTTTAAAAACAAGGGCTTGTTTTGAATCAATTTTTTTCTGTATTTTTCCTCAGAAATTCAGTGACAAATTATACCTTGTTCCCATTTCCAAAAGTTGCACGTTTTACGAAAAATGCGCTTTACAAGAAATATGTGCTACCCTCTGTACTATATTCTCTGCTTTTGCGGCAACATTGGCCAATGAACGCAGACTTCTGCATGACGTAACAATTAAAATTTGTGATCAGCTGTTGGCGGGCGGATGAATCTCAATTATTACTGCTCGATTTTTTGTTGAGTTGGATAGCCTTTCCATCGTCTTTTTTTAGTCATTATCAGTTAAGTTACGCTAAGACAGTGTTAAAAAGTATATGTAAGCTATTAAACACTTGTCAAAAGACACTCATGCTGCTCCAAATATGATTTTCCTCCTCATTTTAGATACTGTAATACAAAAAAAAACGACAATGTTTCACCAATCCAACCTAACGAAGGCTCTAATCGCTGCTGCTATCAGCGCTATACCTGTAAGAATAAAATGGATCGAAAAAGGAGTCTTGAAGAAAAGCGTAAAGATATATGAGAACCATAACAGTTGCAAACAGCTTAGATGGGCTATTCATATATATTAAAATACTTTGGCACTTTTCTGCACTTGAAACTGCCCATTAAGCTGATGTTGGAGGACTTCATTGAGTTTTTTTCTCAACTATGAAGATCTGTTGAGGTTAACGAGGCAATAATAAATGAAACTGAGAAATTTGTTTGTTCACTGTATATAGATGATATGAAGAATGTAAATGATATCAAGGCACGTCTTTTCAAAACTGGCAAGGCAGGACTTTAGTCAATTATTCCCCCACCCCACCATCAAAATAATTTATGCATGTGTGATAAAAACAACCTGAATTGCACAGATTTTTGTTTTTGTATCGACTGTCGATTTTCGAGAATGTGGACTTCGGAAGCAATTCAGAAGAAAGTGAATTAGATATTGAAGTTGATTTAATAAATATTATTTATTAGTTTTTTTCAGACATCTGTTAGTGTCGAAAGTTCTGTTTCTATACATAATATTGCATGTTTCTACAGGGATTCCTCGACCTACGACGTTGTTCCGTTCTTGAGATGCGGTGTAACCCGAATTTTAGTGTAAGTCGGAACATTATACTGTACAGTACATAAATTACCCTATACATATCGTACTGTATTGTAAAGTATGGTACAGTAATAAAATGTACAAATAATGCAAAAAGTACGATGTAAATGAGGAAAACCAATGAGCCCAAAGCACTGATTTTCTTGATCACAATTATCCAGTTTAAGGGCTTAGATATTACAGTACAGAATTCTATTTTATATTTTTTGGAAGTGCGTTCGTAACCTTGAAACAGCGTAAGTCGCGACCGTCGTAACCCGAGGACTCCCTGTATTGCCTTTCTTTGTCTAATTGTAATATTTTTGTTCACTATGTTATGTACATACTGTATTCATTTAATTCTCTTGGCTATTTCGGTAAATTTCTAAGTGAGAAATAACTGATTTATTTGTTTTTTTGTACTCACGATGTTAATTTGTGACTTCATTGCTTAAAAATAAATACGTTTGATAGCTACTAAAAAATAAATGCAATTTCTTATACTGTTTTTTGTTGTAAACTGCTTGTTTGAGGAAGTCTGGTTTTGGTCAGACAAAACGTTACAGAAATACATTTGTGTTAGTGTGCAGCAGGGCTTTTTAATTGCATAGTTTGTATGATGTGTGGTTGTAAACCTATGGTTATTGATTTTCTGGGAACCCCCTTATATTCAAGTTCGCATCAGAATTGTGGAACAAGCTGTGGGATGGGACCCCGGGATTTGGACAGTTTTTTTTCAATCCCGATCCCGCAATTATTTCCTAAAAATCCCGGGATTTTGAGGCTTTGTTATCCACATATAGATATTCTCACAAATGTCAGGTTATACCATTTTATTTAATACTCATCTATGATAAGGACCTACAAGTGTACAATTACTTACTTAGCCTATACTTTTTATCACCGTATTAGCACAACTTAACTAATAATAACTGAAAAAGACGATGGAAAGGCTACCCAACTCAACGCAAGATCGAGCAGTAATAACTGAGATTAATCCGCCCGCCAACAGTTAATCAAATTTTAATTGTGACGTTATGCAGAAGTCTGCGTTTATTGGCCACGTTGCCAGAAAAGTAGAGAATATAATCGTAAATATATACTAATACATATCGTAGCACATATTTCTTGTGGTAAAAGCGTCTTTTTCGTAAAATGTCATTGGTAAAACGTGCAACCTTTGGAAATGGGAACAAGGTATTGTTTATTACTAAGGAACATTTTAGAATTATTCCCAGGTAGGTTCTTTATACACGCTACGAAGGGCGTTTTTTAGGGCCTCGTCTCACGGCCTACCGGAATACGGGTTTTCCAGTCAATCAGATGCTTGAGTACTGGTGTGTGGTTCATGCTTTAGGTGGCGTTGTTTGTCTTGTGTGCTCAAAGAGGTGTGTGTGGACCACCACAATGGTGCGGACTGTCAGCTAAGACTGTAAGATGCTATTAAAGTACAGAAGTACGGTGTTAGGTAATACGCCGTTTTTCTAAACTTGTAATAAGAATACTTTCGAAGACATTCATCATGTAATGCATATTACTACTGCATAAGGGTCAGTAGACTACGGTATCTTTGTTATTTGATTATGGTACGGTACCGTATTTTTTATTGGAAAAGTTACTTCTGCTAAGTTATAGCTTAGAGAGGATTTATTATCACAAAACAAACTCAACCACGGGTCTAGTATAGTTTAGTACCACAAGTACTTCCAGTGGGCGTAGCATACCGGTAACGATTTTTGCATAGGCCTATGTTATTCCTAACCCTCACCTGACTATGCCATCCAAAAATTACGTCACTACGATGTCACCATCACGTCATAGGGATTGCCAAAGTATAATTACGATCGCCTGAAATGGCATCTGCGCCGCCGATAAGAACTTGCTAAAGCCGGCGATCTCTCTCCTATCGTGATCGTTGCGACGAGAAAACGAGAAAAATAGCTTGCTCGATTTCGGGTTATCGTCTGCGCGTTTTAGACTTTAGAGGACCATCCGCATTCTTCGGTGAGCCTTATTACGCCACTATGACGTAATTTTTCAGTGACGTAGTTAGGTGGGGGTTAGGATTGACATATGCAAAAATTGTTGAGCCAGGCCAACTAGAAGTGGATGTGGTACTAAACTATACTAGACCCCTCAACCACTAACTTCTGAACTTTATAGGGACAAAAATATCATTGCTGATAAAAAAATGTAATATTTCATTATTCAGTCATTTGGAATGATCTTAGCATTTTAATATAATGTTAACACTAAAATATAAAGTAAACAAACTTTTGATTTTTGATATCAAATCTCTTTTTACAGTTTTACTCATAAAAATACAGCTTACCAATTCTAACTTCAGAACTTACAGATCTGCAGATTTATGAACTCATGTTTACGGCAGTACACTGTTACATGTGCCAGGTATTGCAGGCTTAATAATTATTGAATAGGCCTACATGAATAAGAAGAAATGAGCTGATGACCCCATGATACTGTGATACATGCCTATTTAGTTATCAGAACTGGGGTTGGTAGCAAATATTGGACCAAACACTGTAGTAGTATATATATACAGATATATGAAAAGGTTGAAATCACATCAATTGAAGAAATACAACTGACTGATAGATATCAATGGAACATTGGATGTAGCCTAGTATTGTTGTATCCTGTACCGACTTGAATGACATGATATAAAATGGCTGGACTAATAAAGAAACAAATTTTGAAGCATTTGTCTAAGTAAGTCATGCCATGCTTCACCACTTAGCATTACAGCATTATTGGACACACAATAAACCCAGAAACCTATGTATCATATTTCTATTTTTTTTCTCATTGTTACCATATTATAATAGCATGATTATTTAGGAATAAAAAAGACTTTTGGGTTTCACCAATGTATTGTGGAGTTATATACGAAACTGTATGTTCTTCGAGTGGTTGCTAGCCTGCCTATTCCTGTATTCCTTGTTATTAAAAGCTAAAAAAATTTAAATTACTGATTTGATATATATATATATATAGGTTTGCTAAAAATCTCTCCGCTGACAAGATCAACCTGAGTACATTACGAGGTGAAGGAGAATTGAATAATTTGGAATTGGATTGTATTGCGTTGCAGAATGTTATGAATTTGCCTACATGGTTGCAAATAAATCGTGCATCATGCAATCGAGTTCATGTAAAGGTAAAGTTTTATTCTTTTTTTTTTTTTTTTAAATCTTCCACTCCAAACAACAACAAATACCGAAAAATTGATATGGATATTTTATTTTACAAGCAGTGATGAGCATGTGCATATATGCAATCTAAAAATCACATCACCGATTCGACGCACCCATCCTAACATTTTTATTGGTCGAAATAAGGACGCCTTTTTCAGTCCTGATTTACTCATAAAGAGTGCAGGTTATGTAAAGTCAAAACTGACAAAAATGACCCAGAAAAATGCAACTTCAAGTTTCTCATTGATGCATATGTATGCAGTGAATAGGTTGAATCTTTCAGCATCCTTTGACCATAAAAATATGATATGTGACTCATTTAATAAAAAAGTTTTGCAATCCGTTCTAAATAGCATGTTTATGTGTCACTATTTCATTGTGAGATTTACTTCCTTGCTTGTTATGTTGTGACTTTTCTTTGGCAAAATTAAAATTCAATGGAATCTGGTTTAAATTTCGGTTCAGAAAGTTTTTATCTGAGATTTGATCGAAAAGAAATGTATACAATGTGGGATGTGGACTCCAACATGCATGTGTAGATTTTTATATTTTAGACGGTTGCTAGAATTAACAAGGTGCTTGAATAGGAAAAACTGATTTCTCTTTGGCCAAAACACTACAGGGCAATCGACAACACAGACTACAAACACCCAGTTTAAGATGAAAGTCAAAATGCCCAATAAAGCCAATGTAACTTAGTATTTTCAGTAACCAAAAAGTTACATTGGCGGAAATATAATGAAATAACAAAATATTCTGCAGAAGACGTATAAACTAATGAGGCCAATGAATGTTCATTGTATTGTTGACAAAATTTACATTTAGCCTGATATTTACGGTAAATACCTCAATTTATTGTGTAAATGACAAATTTGTTAGGAATGGTTAATTTTTTACATTGCCACTCAATATTCATCCAATATTCATGAAGTGTTTACTCTTTACTGCCCTCAGGCATTTTTACTTTATAATATACAACATTAACAGTTTGGTCCACATGGTGATTGATGAAGGATTTGTAGAAATTTGTAAGAAAAAATCTCACTAGCGACGTTGGCTTTGTATTGTATATCAGTAACCTTGAATACATTTTGTACCTGAGTATGGCCACATTATGTGAGAGAAAGAGTTTCTATGATAATAAATTTTTTTTACTTGGGATATTTATGAGCAAGTTTGTGTAAATAATATATATTGTATTGTATTCAGATTCCATGGACGAAATTGAAAACTTCCCCAATATGCATTGTAAGTTGAATAATAAACAAGAAAATAATTGGTCTTCCGCCCAAATGTTTAACTACATTTGGATTTGGATTATTCAAATTCATTTCCTAATATCATTAGCTTCAACTGAGATGAAACATAATATACTAAATATTTAATAAACATTTCTAAGCTCTTCCATGGTGTGTGGCACATTGATAATTAATATGTGTCATCTTGTTTTATGAATGTTTTGTTTATTGGATTTCATTTTATATAGAGTTGAATCAGCATATTTTTTTATATTTAGCCTAAAAGCTATCAATATATTGTATGCCTATTTCCCTATTATTCTTTCCAATATTTCAAGGAGGAATTATACTTGAGTTTTTCATTTGAATAATAGAATCAGACTTGTGTGTCTCATTCTCATTTAACCCTTTCCGTGCGGTGGGCACGTATACGTACCCTCGACAAAAGTCGCTAGATTACGGCGGGTACGTTGATGTACTCCACTGTTTTATTTAGCAATCGGTCGCAAACTGTTGGTCTAGTTTTTCCGGGTTTTAGTTTATTGATAAGAAGTCTTCTTCGAGATTAACATAAGCGACGGTAAATCTCGCTTTCGTTTACGACGGAAATTTTATTTGCGGCGGAACGAGGGAGTGTTTTTGAAATTTATACAAATTTCGGTGTTTTTTGGGTGGTAATAGAAGACATATTATCCCTTCCATCTACCAAAGTATTTTGAGTTAGATCACGAAATTGCTACAGCAATATTATGCTATTGTTTGCCAACCACGAAGCGGTAACAGTAAAGGATTTAGCGAATATTTCTATTTTTTATCACGGTTTGAAGTTTCAACTCCCAAGAAAAAAAAATGCCCTTTTTCTATCCGGTTTGTGACTCAGACCACCACTTTTGAAAAAACTTGTTTTAATCGTCAATTGCAAGCTCTTTAAATAAGCTTTCCAACGAGCCGTCAGTGGGCATCAGAGGAGCATTACTTTTTCGTTAATCGATCGATTAGTTGTGGGGGTACAAATGCATAAAATCGGCGTAGCAAATACGATTATTTAATAAAAAATAAAAATCGCATGGAAAGGGTTAATAAAGATAATTTTTACCATCTAGTTTTTGAACCTAATCCCTGACATAATAGCGGTGTCAATCTTGTGAGCATTTACTTTTTTTATTGTTGACACAAAAGTTACTTAGAATTACACTATCAAATGTAAAATAAGCAATTCATCATTAAGATATTATTATTATTTTTTAGTTTCTTGATTCAGTAGAGGTAGAAATGATAACTTGTGAAAAACCAAGAGCTCCGAATGGACCGTCACCCATTCAGGCATCAGCCAGCAGGTGAATACATGTCAATCGTATTTAAATCACAGCTTTGTGTTATCAAATGTATAATCCTATCCTTGTATCATTAAAAGAAGCTTATTGTTGTTGGGCTTTCTGACTTTGGTCTAAAAATAGTTGAGAAGCTAAACATGTTTGTTCTATTTCACCATTCTTGATGTGATGCATTCATTCAGTAACCAACATTGAAGATGAATAATATTGTTTAGTCAGAAGTATTATGATGTCACACAGTCTATTAAGTTTTTATGAAATATAAATAAAATTCGGACTTGGTGTATTTTAATTCAATAGCCTATACAATCAATTCATGTTCAATCTTGTGGTATTAAAAATGATTATTGAAAACCATAGTAGTCTACATATATAACTTGGCTTTTCACTATTTTATTTATACAATTGTTTATAAATATGTTAATAAAATTATAAATATTATTTTATATTGTCCCATGTTTTTATTTTTTACAGTGGTGACACGAGTTACGGATTTACTGAAAAGGTTTTGGAAGGAATGACTGTCAATATCAACTCCATTTCCGTCAACTTTACTTCAGCTGCTTTTAATGCAACTTTCCAGGTATTAGGCAGGCTTTGAGCATGTGGCATTTTGAGAGTGTAAGCGCTTAACGCATTGGGCAGTCAATATTGATGCTAAGGTCTTATTAAGTTCACATAATCAAATTTATAATTTGTTCACAAAAGTATCAAATTGAATAGATGCTTTTTTGATTTTTTATTGGAAAAATGACAATTCTGATGCTTGAATTAATAAATTCAAGAATTTATTTACATTGATGTCATAAAAATATAACCTAATATGTAACTGATTTTCGTAAAACAAATTTGCTATAGTTAATTATCTGCTTCAGAATCTGCATCTAACCATAGTAAGGGCGAAAATATCACAAGCTATTGGAATGTTCATTGTTTACACACTAATATTCTGCACTAATCATCATTTTGAATTGAGATAAACAAATTACTAGATTATTACCAATTACTAAATTACTAGTATTTTTAATATATACTGAATGGTTTTTTCAGGAGATATTCAATATTGACCTAAATTCCTTGCTGCCTACAAGTTTTATTAGTAAAACCTGCTCAACAAGAAAATAAATAATATTTACTTAAACCCTGTTCTTTCCAGCTATCACAACTACTGGTTTTAAGTACAAATCCCAAATGGGAGAAAACAGATTTGAGACTTTCAAGGATCACTGACAAGACATTGGGCCAGGTAACTTTGTTTCATTTATTTCCACTGCCTGTCACCATCTTGTTTACATGAAATACAACAGTGCATATCAATTTGGATACCTCGAAATAGTCATAGGGCTACATCAGTCATGTGTTTTGAGAATTATAAAATTTAAAAAACACTAATGTGAAAAAGCTAGTTCACATTCATGTCTAAAGTGAATTCCAAAATATAATTTTCATTTATTTGCTCGAAACTGCTTTTTCAGGTTTTGCCCTTTTGAGTTAAAGTGTAATGTTTTCACTAGTTTTACTAATGCCAATCGCACAAGTTTTGTTTATTTCCGATAATTTATTAAAAAATTAAATATACTTTTTAACACACAATTAATAGCAATGTTACAAGTTTTAATCTTAGGCAAACATTTTTTTAACCTTTTTCCAAATCCTAACTTTCCATTCCGGATGACTATGAAAGAACTGAAGAGTTTGATGCTTATTGAGTACATAAGAACTTTATTAATATCAATATTGATTCTGTGTTCATTTTGGATCAATTTAGTTATGTGACATACTCGATAAATTTGTATAGTGATAGCAAGATACATGCTATTATGATGTAATGTGTGCCGACAAAGCATAATGAAAAATCAATCCCTGCTTTTTCAATTTTCCATGATCAAATCAAGTGATTGATTTTGTCCTTATGTTGCTTGAAGGTTTAAATAATTATCTCAGTCCCTCGGGTTTTATTTTGTATGATGTATGAGTACCAGTTCATCTCAAAATGGTCTATAAATGTCTGGTTATATGAATACCAGTTTAACTTAAAATGGTCTATTAATGTGTGGTTGATGGTTCTACATGTACCAATTTTATCTAAAAATGGTCTATAAATGTCTGGTTCTATGAGTACCAGTTTGCCTCAAAATGGTCTATAAATGTCTGGTTCTATGAGTACCAGTTCATCTCAAAATGGTCTATAAATGTCTGGTTATATGAATACCAGTTTAACTTAAAATGGTCTATTAATGTGTGGTTGATGGTTCTACATGTACCAATTTTATCTCAAAATGGTCTATAAATGTCTGGTTCTATGAGTACCAGTTTGCCTCAAAATGGTCTATAAATGTTTGGTTCTATGAGTACCAGTTCATCTCAAAATGGTCTATAAATGTCTGGTTATATGAATACCAGTTTAACTTAAAATGGTCTATTAATGTGTGGTTGATGGTTCTACATGTACCACTTTTATCTAAAAATGGTCTATAAATGTCTAGTTCTATGAGTACCAGTTTGCCTCAAAATGGTCTATAAATGCCTGCCCCGTGTTTTTTTTGCTGAGTGTGACATGAATAACATTGTGGGTATATACTGATTAGTGATTATCACTGCTCTCATCATTTATAATATGTTTGATTAATACTATTTTGTTACCTGGTTGAAAAAATTTTTGCTATGATTTTTCTTGGACGATTCATCAATGTAAAATTTGTAAAATAATTATTAATTCCTGAGATATACTTATGTTCTTTTTTTGTTGTTTTTTCATGAATATTTTCGTAATAATTTTTTCTTTCAAGGTACTGACGTTCAAAAAGATATCATGGCAGACCATGCGAATTGTTGCAGATGCAGTGACAACAAATGATAAAAATTCAACAACACCATTGAGATTAATTACAAATCAAAGTGAAATAAAGATGACTTTCAGAAGGAAGGTATTGGAATTTTTATTATGCCCCTTGTATGAAGATTAAAGTATAACTTTTGATAATGGAGGTTGCAGTATAAATACAATACCATCAAAGTTTTCATATAATTTCAATTTTGGTCATATCGAAGTTCTGCAATTATAATAATCTTGTATTGTTATTTAAAGAATTACTGTAGTCCATCGAATGAATAGTAACACGATGAAAGTATCTGGCCATACAAATTAATAAAACTTGAATATACCAAGACCTATTCCTTCAAGTCCTAAGCTAAGATGTTATGAATATGGAGTACATTTGGAATTCTAATTTTTTCTGTATAGTTTTGATAGAATCTTATACCCAAGAAAGTTTATTAAGATGACCTTCACACAATTTTCTTCTTCCAGACTTCCGATTGTTCTGTGATTGCCAGCGAGTTAGATATTCATTTCGATGATTTGTTGTGGGTTCTTACTGATTCACAAGTACAATCTGCTTTACTTTGTGTGAAATCATTACGAGATACAATTGAGCGTTCCAGTCAACAAATGAGAGAACTTGGTCTAGTGAAAGCAAATGAAACTCAGCAGGTAATCTTCAGAAGTGTTCACTAATGACCATTTATTATTCATGTGAATTTGTTCTCAAGCTAAGATTTGAAACTATTGGATTAGATGGCATGAGTTGTTCTGTATATCTCCCTAACCATTTGTGGCTTTCATGGGACAAATCTATGCATTGTTTAATGTTTCAGTTATCAGTCATTTTGAACTGGGATTTTGATGTTTATTTTAAGGGAGTGAAATTGATATTCCTATTATGTGGTGAGCAACAGCTGTCTAGTAGTAAGTTGCCTGTTTAAAGTCTGTGTACCTACCAAACAAAATTATTTTTTTTCTACTAGAACTTCAGTTATATAAATCTTACTACCTACCTCGGTTTGCTTGATCGTATTGCCACAAACTTGTTCTGTGTCAATCGGTATTTACCAATGCACAGTAGAATTCTTTATAATGTCAGGAGCTCTTGGCATGTTCACCCTTATCTTTGCTCATTCTCTTTAATATCTGAATGGTTTTTGAAAAAATTGATAATTAGTCCATTATAGTTTACAGTTACATGGATGTGGTTGGTGAAATACATAACAACGGCAGTTACCGCAATGAGCCCAGCAGTTCTGTTGTACATATACATTTACAATACAATTTCAGATTGTAATTTTTCACACAGTAGCCTATTCAAGTTGTGGACTAATATGTAAATCCATATACTTTTAATGCTATCCCCATTTTATTGCTTTAGCATTTTTTTCAATTTTTATATGTAAACTGACATTCTATATGTATTTAGTAATCTTATAATTTATTCATGATTTCTAGTTGCCGGCAAAACCTCCCAACACCTCGACAATAAATGATTCTGATGATCAATCTGCCTCAAAATACTTTGAACAGCATACAGTTATAGAAACTGCGTATCATTTACATTTTGATCGTGTCGATCTACACATTTGTGAAGAAAGTTCACCTACACATAAAGGTAACAACTGGTCTTTTTTGTTGATACCTCTACGATTATACTACGATATTACTTTCTGGTTTTTTTCAGACTTCAGAGTGTTCTATTGTTGTCTTGAAAAATTTGGGGTTATTTTTAAGCGCATAACTATCAAGTATGTTATTGGAGTATTGGTAACTGGAATAAATATTTATTCTCAAAAATAGGAATCTTAACTCGCGGTGAAACAATGTCTCATACTTTTGTTACACAGTTACTTATATTGCTTTGAAATGATATTATTACTCTTTTTAAATTCAATACCAGTATTTTCATTCATCTATGATTGTTCTTAATTTTGTATTTGGATATCAAATGAATTGAAATATTTTTAATTATAGAATGTTTTATCACTCAAATTACGATATATTAAGAGCAGAATTATATATTATTCCTTTGATGCAGACATTTTTTTTTCCAGTAAGATTTTAATAATTTTATAGGTTTTGGAAAGAACAAAAGCCAAGGTGGTGCTATTCAGATTTCTCTTCATGATTTGAAAATGGATCATTATCCTTATCATAAAGCAGGTAGTGATATTATTATTTGGAAGTTTTACTATATATCTAACAAACTGGTTGGAATGATGTAGGACCGAATAATGTTGTCTCGCAGGTTGAATATCTACGATTCAAACGTTATACTAATCACTTCACCCAGGTGTAATAAAAGTTGGAAATTCCAAATCGACCGTGACAAGATGATCCCAGTTTTCCTAGGAAAAGTAGTTCTTTACGGATATAACAGTGGCTTCTTGTCTACAGCTTTCTCTAAAATGAAGACTTAAGAATGTTTTTTTGAAAAACAAAAACATAAATTATGAATGTATATGGTTAATTGCAGAAGCGTGCACCTAACTACTGCTACTTTTTCTTCCAAGTTGTATTTGTCAATCTGTTTGCACTGAATGCAGGAATACTATGGCTAGAATCAAAGCTGATCAATCCATGTGGTCTTGGTTGCACATGTAGTTCATATAACTTCTCCAAATTACATTCAGTGATTTATAATTTGAGGTTTTTATTAATAAAAACTCCTAATTCAATTCATGTAGCAAATATTGCTGCAATATAAATATCTTTATTTTGCAGCATCTGACAGAGATCATTTCAGAGATGACGGAGAGACAATGATTGAAAGAAATAGTTGGGCAGATGGGATTATCAAACAGTTCAGAAGTGATTTTGCAAAGTTGAAGAAAGCTGCGGAACAAGCTGGAAATTTAACAAAATGTGGGTTGAGTATTTCATGCCATCGAGTAGTTTTCTTTTTGAAAAATTATGTCAATTTTTATGGTTGTATATATGGTTATATGCAGTTCATTATTGAAAGATCATATTCTAGAAATATTAACTGTGTCAAAATGTGCAATTTTAATCTGTGCTAAGTGCTAACAATCTTGTTGTAATTAATTTCAGTTACTTACTTTTTACATTTTCAGATCCACACCAAAAATCTGCTCGTTTGGTTGAAAATTGTTTATCTGTACGTCTGACAGATATCGATATACATCAAGTAAGTTTATGGTCAATTATTTGTCATTCATTTTATACAAACATATTTTGTTCGAAGTCACACAGATCTCATTTTATATCTGCACCCATTGGCTATGAAGACAGAATATCCATTCTCAGTTACCACACCTTGAAGCCCATTCTTTTATAAATTATGTAGGGCATAGTATAGGGGTTTAGGTTGTTTCATGGTTTTCACTGCTTCCTTTCCTATATGATTCAATGATATGGAAAAGCTCTAGGTCAGGAAGAGATGAATCCTTAAATCTGAATCAAAAAAGAGACTGAACCAGTGGTTCTTAAATTTTTAAGCCCCCCCTTTTAAAATTTGCTGAGTCTTGCGCCCGACTTAAAAATAACTAGCTAACAATGAGCTACAAATAACAGGCGAAAGTGTGTTTTATTCAAGAAACACGTTTAAAATACATGGTTGGAGCATTAATATCCAAAATAAGACTGGCAAGATCAAATTTAACATATTTTCATTTTAAATTAGCTTCACGCCCCCTCAAAAAATTTTCGATGCCCCCCTTTGTGGGGCGCGCCCCACTGTTCGAGAACTACTGTACTAAAGTGTTTGAACAAATTCGATTCTGGTGTAAGTGCCGGGATAAGACTAATGTTTGCTTATTGTTCGATTTGCAATGGAACATTACTTTTTCATTATTTCTGAAGTTATACCTTTTATATACAATGTGCGTTTGGACAGTAAGCTATTGAATTTGTGGAAAAATGTATCTGTAAAATACTGAGTTTTATATTTAAAAACTCAATTTTACTTTTGTGTCAATATTTATAGAAAAAACATAATGTTGTTTAGGTAACAACGTCAAACAGTAAGAAGCAATCAAGTGGAAGATTAATTAATTCAACAAGGAAAGAGTTATTACTACCCGATGATATGCCGTTGTTTCATTTCATCAGAACTGAATATTATTATCCCGATGGCAGGGATTATCCAGGTAAGAACAGATTATTAGTAGAAATTAATTTGAGTTGGCGTTGGTCATTTCATTGCTGTGAGGGCGCGATGGCTTAAAAATTGAAGCTTTATTAAATCCGAGATATGTAATCTTTGATGCCAACACAGTTAAGCCAGTACTTTGAAAAAAGTAGCATCCAGATATCAGTGGCTGCCTTGCTTGGTGCGAAAAAATGAATCAAAAAGCTGAATAGTCCTATAAGGCTATGGCTGATTCAAGAATTCAGTCACCTACAATTCGAAAGTATCTCTTTATCTATGACCCGTACCTTCACTCAACAAAAACTACAGCCTATGATAGGATGTATGACTTTCACTTAAAATTTATTGTTTTTGAGTTAATATGTTTGTCATTGACTGACACATTTCTATGTCGAATATTTTGTTCCTGTTAATCAGATGAAATAGTATTAGTAAGTTGATTTCAAAATTTACTTAATCCATCTTGTTACCCATGACCATACTGAATGATATGGTTATCTGGTACAGTGGTATGTAACTCTTTATCAAGTATAGTCTTTATCATGATAGTGGTATCATGGCAACAACGCCAGTAATATCTTCTATGAAGCTTTTCCTATTAGGTCCTTGTGAATTTGTGATATAGTGATAGATTTTCATTTTAATGCTACAATTTGTATTCAGTGTTCTTGATTGAGTTTCTACAGAACTAACTTATCCTTCTTTTAAGCTAGTAAATTGGTATGCATATATTGCAAGTATGCTGTAGTAAGAGTGAAGATAACTATCCTAAGTGATTCTTGGTCGGACGAAACATTATAGAAATTTGTGTTAGTGTACAGCAACAATCTTGAATCACGTAGAATTTATATTTAATATTGTGAGGTGATATATTCATTCAAAATTTTAACATTTACTTATTATTTCCAGCTCCACATGACAATATTTTCATGCAAATCAATGCTCCCCAAATACATGCACACTGGGATTCATTAATATGGTTAAATACTCTCATAACAAAGACTGTACAAGCTGTTCAGAAAATGTTGGAAGATCTCGGCATATTGTCTGATAATGATGAGGATGACACACTAGAAAATATGTCTTCTCCTGCTCAAAATAAAGATGAAGAACACACTGATATAAGAATGCAAATTTTAATGCCAAAGGTAGGTAATGATATTTAATATGGAAAATAGTCACAACCTGAAAATCAAAAGGTTTGGCTCATTTGTCCACAACCTAGGCGTTCGTTTGTTGACTTATTGTTATTAAACATGCCACATAAATAAATGGAGAAACTCTGTTAAAGCAAAACTAGATATTTTTACAGAAGAGCAGGGAACTGTCCACAAGTGTTGAGAGCCTTTTGGAAGGCTGATTCTAAAAGTTTGTGAACCGCTGACCTAAATATATGATTATAGTTAAAACGTTTGTAGTATATCCCTGCTACTACCAATTGGCTGCTTTATTCCCAATGGGTTAGGGTTGATACACGACCAAGAATAATATCATGAATATTCAAATGGTTCTCTATGAAATATGAGATTTCACAGTATCTAATCTTAAATCATGGGATAAATCTTAATTCAAATTTATTATTTCAATCATTTACAATTATTGAAAAAGTCCGTGTTTGTTTCCAATTCAGTTATCTGATGCAATTGCCTACCCAATATTAATTTAGCATGTCATGCATATTCTTTCTTATATATAGTTCTCTAAGTTTCTATTTTATATTCACTTAGTATTATCTTACAGTAGTTAAAAGTGTCTCATCAGCTGTTGTTTAAGTCATGAATTTGGATGATCAGCATTGTGATGATATTACTAGAAATACTTGCATTGGTTGTTTCTGTTTTGTTGCAGATATAAGCTTTGTTACAAAGGTTACTATTACCTATTCTCTGGGCTATCTTTAACTAGCTATGAGTTATGGCATTAAAAAGCAGTACTTCAAACATATAGAATCTGCCAAGCTGCTCATTCTGAATTTAATGTGTATCAAGAAGCCTTTTTTCAATTTTTTTTTTTTTTTTAAGATTTTCATCCCTGGTCCAAAATCAACACATGATAAACAACCTCATGGATTAGAAATTCAAACATCAAAAGTAGCAGGTAACTCTATATATGACAAATCTTTCATGATTTATTATATTATTATAAAATGAAATTCTATTTTCTCAGCTTTTCTATTTTAAAATTTTAATATGCATATATTTGAATAGTTTTATGATACACAGAAATATTCAACAGCGAGAGATTGATATTTTTCTCGAATTATACTCAAGAGTTTATGACTAAAGATCTTGGTTATTTCATTTTTGTGTCTGAATATTTTGAATTTTTTGTGATTTTTTCAAACTTATGTTGACATTTTTTGTGATAGTACATGTAATATTCAAATCTTAATATTTGAATGTTTTCACAGTCACAAATTGTCGAGATGGATCAGATTGTACAAGACTTCATTTGAAAAATGTTTTGAAAAAAATGGATGAGCAACATTTTGCCAAGTATGGAAAGTTTCAAGTTTTTTTCAACTTTATTGGAATAAAAAATAATTCGTTGTTTAATACCATTTTTTGGTTTCTGAATCAAGCAAATGAATGCAAGAAATATGGCAGTCTTTGATAACTATCTTAATAAACATTGACCAGAGCTGACTTCTTGTGTGCAAATCATCATTGGCCTTGCTGCGTTCAACAAATTTTTACAAATATTGTGAATTCTCGTCAATATTTGTTCCTATTTTCAAATATTAGGAGTTAATTTATAATAACTCATTTATAGTTCCCAACTTGTATTTCTGTTTTTAGAAATCCTCATGCCTTTCCTGGTGAAAAAGGAATCGATCTCTCGTTCATGCAAGATTTGTTGAGATCACATGCTAAAGGAGAAGATGTTCCTCTGACTATTGCTTTGAAAAGTGGGAATCCAGATCTAAAGAGTGAGATAATTAAATACATTTTACATCCTACAATTTAAAATCAAATTAAAAAAGTTGCTTACTCGCTTTTTCTCAGCATTTTATTGATGTCTTATGATTTTTCTGTGAAATAGTGTACATCCATATTAGATTGGTGACTAGTAACTGAAGAAATTCTTCAGTTGCAACTGTGATCTATAACAATTATTTATCTGAGTAATTTTTTTACTACACCCTCCAGCCATCTGCTGATAAATAAGCCATAAATTATGTATAAATATCTATCAACTTAGTATCATGCTTAATTCATTGCTGGTAACCTATGTTATAGCTATGTTTTGATAAATAGTATCTATCAAGTGTGTCAACTGAAATTGATTCAAAACATTAGGATAACTTTTATGTGTTAATGGACACATTCGTCAATACAAAGCTCCAAGACTAATTGCTTGACTAAAAGCTTTTTTACCATATGTTTTTTTTGTAATTTGTTTTTCATTCAGATCGTTGACATTCATTCATGCACATTCAATTTTTTCTCTGAACAAGGCTCTTCAAAGTCTATATTTCTAACTGTGGATGCAACAGATTACAATTCTGCCAAAATCACACTTAAGAAATTATTATCTTTAACAGAAGCGGCATTGATGTCATCAGCAACAAAAGATGTTTGGTCAGTAGATATAGAACAACTATGGATAGACTTTGTGATGCCTTCATTGAAAAAAGCTGTCGAAGAAAAAGAATCTACAGGAGGTTTTTTGGGATTGACCAGAGTAAATGATGATCCTGTTTCAACGGGAACTAGAGTTCCTTTTATAGACTCGTTCCCGACACAATTATGGATTGGAGAATCTGCCGGCATTTCCGATGGAACTGTAAAACTTGCTTGTCCGACTTTTGTGGGTGAAGCTGCACTTTCACCTAGTTCGTCACTGTACAATATCGGTTCACCCACACAAGATTCTTCGTTTAATAAAGTTGCTTCGAACAATGTAGATTACGCAAAAACAAATGGAAATAATAAATTGGAACCAACATCTGATATGCAAGAGTAAGTTGTCTTTGAAATCATAGCTAGTAGTTTTCTTAGCAGCGAATTTCTCGTTGACTTGGTCATGTCATAACACATTCACTTTTCTTCATTCCGTTCACAAAGTCCCTAAATCTTGCTAGTGACAATTTGTAAACCCTAATTTCCATTTTGCGCAACGGATGCACATTGTCTCCAACGCCAGTGAGGTCATTTTAGAGAGAACATAACATTCATGCAAGACATCCTAGATTCCTGTTACTTTCGTTCACGATCATACACAAGCAGAAGTTCAAGTGTAAACGAAATTATATAATTGATTCCATTTTCATAGAGGTAATTGAGAAATTTATGGGTTCTATTTTTTTGGTCACCCTTGTATTGGATTTATGTATATATATGTATGTACATGACAGGGTCGGACAGCTCAAAAATTAGGACCGTTGAAATATTTTAATTGTGCCTTCTGATCATACCAAAGACTTTTATTTGCAAAACGGAATTATTTTTATTTTAAAATTTGACAATTCAAAATTAGGACAATCAACCACCGTTTTTAGACATGTCTAGCTACATGATACCGACATATATTTTAAGAAACTGTTATAGTTATTTTTATGAACTTGTTGAGATGCATAAGTTCCCTACCCCAATAACACTCACCAACAGAACCAGGCACCCAACTCAAGATAGTACAGTATGTGGTCATTTCAGCTTCACAGCCGGTTGGTCATGATCACTTATTTGATGACATCACTGAACATGCTCAGCCATCTGGAAAAACACACAACACGAGTTGCAACCAATACCATTACTTATTCTTATTGTTATATATGCTTAAAATCATGTAATTGAATTTTTCACAGATTTCAGCAAACTCCGCTTTCTGGTTCAGTTTCTTCATCATCCATTGATTCATCTGATAATACTGCGAGTCCACGTTCAACAAGGCACAAAAAACTTCTCAGTGATTATTATCGAACTGATGTGAAACCACAGAAAGATGATGACGCTATTTCTCAAGACAGAACTTCTGTTTCAAGCACGTCTTCAACAAAAAATAAAGTCATATCAACACATATACTAGTACATAGTAATAAGGTTTGTCATTAGACACATTTTAAATTTATACAGTTGAACGAATTTTAATCTATATATAGAGTGTCCAAAAATAAATGAAACCCACAAAATTGGTAATTGAATTAATGGGTGATATTTATTTTGGGACACTCTGTATTATTTCTTGAAATTGCCTATAGAATATTCTTTTATATCAAATTTTATGAAGCAAATATAGTCTGGTATGACCATATATCCAATAACTTGACTATTCAAAATTGAATACATTTTAAAACAGTTTTTGGATATAAAGGAGCTAAACGGCTTTTGCTCCAATTCAAGGAGGTTAAGGTGTTGCTTCCATGGTAAAAGAGACCCACAATTAAAGAGAATCATAATTATGGCATTGCCTATCAAAATTGTTACACTGTGGGGGGTGATGGAGATTTTGACCTGTGATATCATCCAAATTGTCCTAACACTTCATTGAGCCACCAGTCCACCGTTCCCACAAATAGGTTTTTTAATATTGATTTATTGCTATGTTATTATTAATATAAGTTACGCATGGTAAAGGTATAGCAAGCAGTTCTTTATAGTTTGTGCTGAATGACTTTTTATATTGCATTTTCCAGGCTGTGAGATTACAACTCGATCACCATCAATATCTATATTTATTACGACTTATCGACACTGTTGAAGATGTGGGAAAGCAACTCGATGAGAGTACCTCAGAAGTACTGAGTTCTACTCCCTCATCTGCCTCCTCAACACCTTCTCATGCGCCAAATAATATGCGTCCAAGGTGATGTGTTTTTTGAGTGCATTGATTAAATTTAGCATTTATGCAATGTGAGTTTATAATTTGTGTTATGTTTTAGATCGGGCAAGAAAAAATCAAAACCAGTTTCCACGACATCTGTAAGATTATCAGCACCTGCTGCAGATCTTTTTCTTATTTTACGTCCTCCACCACCCGGTGTTCAAAAAGATGATGCCGATTGTAATGCAAGTGATACCTCAAGTGTTGTGTCACCACAAAAATCAGTATCAACAGAGGGCGCTGAAAGTGTGAAATCTGAACCACAAAATACGAATGAAGATGCAGAGTCTTTTATGAAGAAAGCGCAACCTAAACTTTCCATCGTAGCTCAAGATACTCCACCTTTATCAGAATGTGGATCTGATACACTTAGTATTCAAGGCTCAGACAATCTCAGTATATTTGGTGATTCTTTCACCTCTGGTGTTTATCCTCATTCTGAGAGTATAGGTGCTACTCCATATGTGCCCAAGGCAATTGGTTCATATCCCCATGAAACATCAGATACAGAAGATCTTCCAATGTTGCCAAGAGATAATGTTTCATCTATGAAGTCATATGATAATGCAGTGGAGTCACCTTTATCGCAAGGTATGGGAATTGTTGTTATATATATTTTCCACCTTGTTGCAATTGCAAGTCATTATTCATGTATGTGTTTTAAACTATAATTTGCTCTGCTCTCTTATTTAACCCAGGCTTTCAGGAAAGCTTACAATAAAGATGGCTTGACCATTTGAATATTTTTTTAAATATTCAATTTTTCAATTCTTTCCCTGAATTTATATTGGATTTTCCCTCCCATTTTACTTTTCAGATGTTAAAGCTTCTCTTGTCAAGCAAAAGTCTGGTAGTATGTCTAAGTTGTCTTCTGCAAGTAGTAGTAGCACATCTATAGAACCGAAACATCAAATAAAAGAAAAATTTCAATCTCGAAATTATTCATCTGATAATTTAAGAACAACCATTTCAACTTCAGATCAAACGATTCACTTTAATAATGTCAGGTATGTAAAGCCTGTTTCTATGAGAGTGAATTTAGGCATCATATATTTAGCTAACGAATGTTTTTGAATATTCTCGACTTTTATTAAGATTTCAAATTGTATTCAATGCAGCACTGCAAAAAGTAGTTCCAGTGGTTATGAGTCTGGTTCTCACGATTCTTTACCTCTTCCTACAAGCAGTGATGATCAAGTTGTTTCTGTTGAGAAATCATCTCGTCATTCACACTCTAGTTCTGATGCCAGTGATCAGTTTGTTATGATTAAGGTATAGTTGTCTAAGATATGTCACCAACTGCCATAATAAAAATAAAAATATTTTCATACAGAATTCACAAGTGCTAAATGCAGATTGGATCGCGTATTAATAAATCTAATGGAGTAGACATTAGACAATGAGTGGCTAGATTTCCAATTTGCAAAAGTATGTCAGATCACTTTTTTTAATATTGTTTTGACAATCAGATCTCATTTTGAAATAAAACAATTGCGTTTGCGGTCTCTTTCAGTTTAGTAAGTATATTCCTTTGATTTTTGTAACTCATAATATAACCCATAACCTGCAGATGGCATTGTACAGGGGATGTCCTTATGCTAGATTTCTGGTACCATCTTTCCTAGCCCAAGAATGTGAGGTTTAGCGGCTAGTATTTTAATATACTTGTATATAATAGGTTGATGAACAAGGCAAAGGAACAGATGAATTTGGCTCTGTGAAGCTAAGTAAGCAGATGAAAACATCATCTATTAGTTCTGGGTAAGAACATATTCTACACAACTGTGTGCATTCAAAGTTTCACAGAATATGTCATTCTGCATAATGCACTGGGTATTTACCAATGTTCCGCAAGTTTACACTCACCCATATTATAATATGTATTGTTTACTTATAATACCGGGTATAATATAAGCATATAATAGGTGTGTTTTACTAGTATTCTGTGAAAGACCTTGTGGTGTTTTGCATCGAATTGGGGTTCTATTTCATCAAAATAGTTGAAAAACTAGTGGCCTAATGGTATGAATATGCTATTTATTCTTTCCTTGTTTTCAATTGTCAACTTCAATCAAGAAGGATATATAATTACCTTCATTCAAATTTAAGTTTCTTTTTTTTTATTTGGTACAAATATTTGGTGGCTCAGTCGTTGAAGCATTACAGTTCCATGATGGCATTGCCGGTTTCAATCTCATGCCTTCTACCTTACCTCGGGTGTGTATTTGGTAGGCCATGCAGTATCAGGAGGATACCAGCCCCTTCCAAAATAAATTTGCTTCTTACATATCAGTGGCCGCTGATGTAAAAGGCGTATCATATTACAAAATTGTACAAGGACAATTACATTGCAAGACTCTCGTAAACCTGGTTCTCATATTCATGTTGTTTTATATAGCATTCCCAGTGAAACTTCATCATTATCATCAAGTCAAGGATTTTCACAATCTGATCAGTTGTTGAAATCAGACATTGATTCATTTTCTGCTGCGTGCGGTCTGGCTGATTCACAAATTACTGTCACTAATCTTGATGATGCTAACAGTGTGTCTACAACAAGTCAAAATGAAAGTGAAGAAAAGATCAATCCAGTAGAGGAAAAGGCAAGTGTATTTCGCAATAGTCATTATCAGTGCCATTTCATAGTTGGTTTCCAACCGCTTTTATCTGTTGGCTATTGACAAGAGAGTGATATAAAAATTTATGCTTAAAATAGTTTTCAATTCAAAATGAATCTATTGTTATGTTTTATGTCCAATTTGTTGTTAAACTTTATTATAGATGAAAAAAAATGTTTAAAGATTTAGTTCAATTGAACTATGTCGTAAGGACAGGGAAACTGATTCTTACTTTTGTCTCTTCATACAGAAGCCTCCACCAGAAATGTCTTCTGTTGTCAATTTACATGTGTCAGAAGGAATCGAGTTATCTGTTGATTCGAATGATGCCAACGACAGTGTTGTTAAAATCGTTGCAACTTTTGTTGATGTTCTTGAACTTGGTACAATCAAGACTGCAAAAACGGATTCTATCTTTTTGAATTGTATGTTTGTTATTGTGTCAGAAAGTTTTTTTTGCTTTAAGACAATTAGTGACTATTTTATCGATTCATATTTTGCTATATATGGTCTGCATCAGAACTGAAATTAGCTGATATAATCCAGGAGGACGACGAACATCCTGTATAACTGGTTTATTTTTTTGCATACCTTTTTTTCATGTTTTTCAGACACGCCAAAGAAATGTGCATCACTATACAAGAAGCCATCAAGTGACCTTACCTCTCCAAACTTCTGCTTACGAGTGGACTCTGGTCCACAGGCCATGAGGTATACTCCGGCTGCAGCTAAAGTTGGTCACATTTCCTTGTCTGCAAACAGTGTTCCCCTTGTTCTAAAATCATCAACTTTGGCAAATTTAGGTAAGTACTCATGCTAATAGTCTAAAATTGGACTGAATATCTTCTGGATTTATTCGAAGTTTGACTGAAACTTTTCGTCCACTGAATTATTTTCAGTTCATTTTACAATGAAGCTATCAGTTGATCTTTTTTTTAATTGTTATACTACTAAACATCTGAACACTACACAGGAGCTTTTGTGGAAGATGAAGAGATACCTGATATTGTTCCAATGAAAATCAAAGCAAATGATGTTAAATTAACTATAAAAGATGATATGCCAGCAGCATATGAAGCTACTCCCACTCCTGATCCAATTACATTACATATCCATGAAGCCACTGTTACCAGATCTGATGATGGAACTTTTCACGTATCAAGTAAATTTTAATATTTTTTCTTTTTTACACATTATGAATATATTTGCAAATTTGTGACCACAACGGTTAAAGTGCATTCAAATCTGAATTCTTGATTATCATTTGATAAATTTTTATTATCGCAAAATGGCGTCTTTCGATTGTTCATTTCGGTAATGTTTTTTTCAATTTTTCTTGTTCTTCTGCAGCCTCATCCTCTGGAGGAAAGCCTTTACCAGTATTGAAGACTATATCAGACATTTTACCTTCAAATAACGAAAGTGAATGTAAAATGTCTACAGTGAAAGAGAATCTTGTAAAAGAAATAAACTCTGAATTAGGTGTGAATGGAACTACTGATGAAATTGTAACAAACAAACCTGTTAAATCTGAAAGTAATGGTGGTGACAGCGTGTCACAAATACCACAAAAGATATCTAGTGATGTTGAAAATATTGTACAAAATGAGGAAAAGAAAGACTCTGACATTTTAGTTGAAGAGTTACGTAAGAAATTGCGAGATGTCGAAGCTGAAAGAGATTCTCTCGCTGCGGCACTTCAGTATATGCAAGAAGATTTGATTTCATCTGAACGAGAGCGATCAAACTTACGAGCACAGATTAATTAATGAATTAATCACATTTTAATTATGATTGGTCTTGCATGTCTTCTGGCAAATTATGCTTGAAAAGCATGATTCTTGGAGCGATGCTTGAACATTCATTTTCAATGAACTTGACTTTTTATATCAACTCAAATATTTGGTGCATGTTATAAATGGCAATTGAGCAAATTAATCTTTCAACTTGATTAGTCATGAATTTTTTCTATTTACACATATATTATTGGTGTTTGTAGCAAAATCCTACTGCGGTTTTCACATATTTGTTATTTGTTGAACTTATTGATAATTTTGAAAATGATTTTTTATGCAACCAGGCGCAGGTTATAGTATTCAATTGATCTATTCCATGGATAGAACTACTCATGTTTGACATCTGTATGTTCCATGCATATAATTAGGCTTGTTGTTATGAACAATGATATCAGTATTGTGCGAGAATGTGATTTTATATTCTGCTAAATGTTCTAGTGTTAATTATTAAAACCATAATTTGAATCTTAACATCCATCGAAATCAAGGCTATTCAATAAGTTATTATTCATATAGTATTTCATTGCTGGAAGCAATTTGCGATTCACTGATGATTACCATGACGAAAGCATCAATACAAATAGTACATATATAAGTTTTTTACTATCATTTCATTTTGTGGAAAACCAGCATAAATCACATTTGATGAATTATCGCCAAATATCTTCGTCCACAGTACTTAACCTGAATTTATATTTGTGTTAAAATTGCATCCAATGCATGAGGTGTTACAATAGGCGATTATTCAAATGTATTTCATTATTCTACTGAATATGGATGGCATAGTGTACATATACCAAGGTTGCTCACTTAGAACCTTAATTTCTTTAATTTTTATTGGTTGCCAAGCATGACTCCATCTTGGTGATCTTGGTTTTTATTTTATGTCCGCAGCATTTTTCTGATATGCTTGTTAGAATATTGACATGCATGATTGCAAGCTTTGATGCTCAATTTTTAACAAAATTTAACTCCCGGTGCTTCCGAAATTATCGCAATATTTAGAAAATACACAACTCCACTATATACTACCGGTACTCACAAATAAACTTTGTTCATGGATAAGAGTTAGTTATTATGGTCATTGATATTGAGTTGTGCTCATACCTTTGACTAAACTGCTTATATTGTTGATAAACCTAATATATATTAGTATACATGTTCGATATCATTGAACAAGAAATAATGGCGTTTCTGTCTCATCTCACCTATTGAACTGGAAGATTTGCTCCCAATTTATGTGAATATTACTTTTACACTGTTTATTTCAGTACTCAAATGTTCTACCACATTCAAAAGAATGTTTGCTGTCTTGTCGTGTATAAACTTAGGCAAGGTTTCTCACATTCAAAAGAATGTTTGCTGTCTTGTCGTGTATAAACTTAGGCAAGGTTTCTGTTTGAACTGGTCTGAATTGTTCTCATTCTTTGTCATTTTTGTTTACGTTTTCAGCTTACATCTGTAGGTTGAGCATTAATTTATTATAAATCAAAAATTCAGAATTATTCTCAAATCAGCATTTGTGTATTAGAAAAGTGACTTGAAAGTTGCGCTGTTTTGTTTTTGTTAGTTTATAAACTGCTTTTTGTGTCATGCTCTGCGATTGATTTATGTTCAATTTTGCATGATGTCCATGAAATCCTGTATTTTAAATTTCTGTTCATCTGATTCGGCAGAGCATGGTTTTCGTGAAAGCAAGTCAGTTTGCCTGATATTCTTGGAATGAATCAACATTCAAATGCGTTTATTTTTCCTTATTCAGAGAAGTTTATTCAGTTTGTCATTTGAATTTTGTTGATAAGCCATCACTAGCTGTATGCAAGACCAATAATAAATGGTTCCATTACATTGAACCCACGACAATTGCACCTGCATACTATTGCACCTATGGAAATTTTTTGTTTTACGGATATTTGAACCCATACTAACCCTAACCGATGGGTTGTAGCACCTGCATATAGATTGAACCCGCGGATATACACATGGGTTCAAATGTACGTGGGGTAAAATATACGGGCACCATAATAAATTTGTCCAATTTGTAAATGATTGATTAAAGGATGTCCCGTAAGTTATTTTATTTTTGCCCCGAATATATGTGTTGAAGTTTTTTCTGTGTGCGGTCTTATCTCTGTATATGTATGTTATGTGAAGCAAAACAGTGCAATATTTCCTTTTGTTTTGTTTCTTTATTCATATTGATTATCTGTGATTCTTATATTACAGCCATTGCTTGATTGCTTTCTCCATTCGCATGTATTTTTCAACTGCAAATTCTAGTATATCTATGTATAGTTGAAATGAATGTTATATGTTGAATTTTTAGCAGATTTGTATCTGGGACTGGTAAACCCGATTAGGTATCAGCATTAGATTCGTTTGTATTTCTCAATTATTTCTCATCATTGTATTGAGTCAGTATAATGATATTAATTTCTAGACATGTCTGTATTCATATTTTTAGTATTACATCATAAACATTGTCTTGTTCACCGTGAAAAAGCACCTCAAATTCGTCACCATTAAAGTTCTATTTTACTATTCAATTTTCTTTATTTAAAACAGTCCACAGCAAGCGTCAGTTTTGTCAAAAACTGGCGGCCATTCATTGTCCTTGAAGTGACTTTTTAGGCGATGATACTATTGATTTTGCTTATTAATACGTTTTGAGATTTTCAATTAGTTTTAATTTAATTAAAACGATGCTGTCGATCACGTGTATTTTTTATGGGTCAAGAGTGCGTAGAATTGCTGAGGTTCACAATTTGATAATCCGTTTCAAGACTTGCGCCTTGAATGGATGGTAAAGTGCAACGCGTATTTCTTTGAGCTCTGTGTACGAATTATTTCATTCGTTTCCAGGAGAAAGAGTTTGTGAATAGGAGAGTCCCTTCTCGTCGTTCGGTAGGCAATTCTGCTGCGCAGTGGGGCAATTATCCGCCTTCGTTCGATATTATCGGTTCCTAATTACAGTGATACCTCGGTAGTCGAACATAATTCGTTCGGGATTGGTGTTCCATTCCCGAAACGTTTTTGCCTTTATATACAATGGTAGTTGTCGCATTCCAGAATGGTAGTCTTCGCCATGTCATACTGTAAGACGAGATCAGACGCTCGAACATCATTCTCATATTTCGCAATGATTTCTTTTTTCAACTTGATAGTGTGTTGTGACTTGTGGTGTTCCATTCCCGAAAAGTTTTTGCCTTTATATACAGTGGTAGTTGTCGCATTCCAGGATGGTAGTCTTCGCCATGTCATACTGTAAGACGAGATCAGACGCTCGAACATCATTCTCATATTTCGCAATGATTTCTTTTTTCAACTTGATAGTTGTTATCACTGTTTCCTCTTTCATTTACCACTTGTTTGGAGCCATGATTAAAAGCACGCACCAAGTCACAAATATTTCTTAATATATATATGTTTTCTCGCTAAAGTTGTGACTTGAACTGGTGCTTGTTGAAGGTCGATATGCGCGGTTCGGGCGGCGTCGTTTTACTCGGCCGCGTGCTCGGCTGTTCGAGCTCCGAATTTTCGCGTTTTTGTCGACTGTCAAAGTGTCAAGTCGTTCGACTAAGACGTTGAATGGTTCCATGTCCGTTACTGGATTTCAGGCTTTCAACTAATAAATATTTTCGTCATAGATGTTATTTATACTCCCAAATACATTTCGAAATATGTTATATTCAATTTTATGTCAACTTAAATATTTCTTGGTTTAATTACGAATATATATGTCGAAATGGGACTTCTGGGTGGTTCGTCAACTACGAACAGGCCCCCAATTTACGCGACCCTACGTTTCCACATTTATGGATTTTACCACGACGTAATTAAGAATAGTATCATTTGGCGCCGATGTTGCTTCTTTGTCACATTATCAAAGAATTGGTCAATACCTGCTTTAAAATACAATAGCGTTATTGAAGTTTTCTGTGTTTATCGTCATTGTTCCGAGTCAAAACATAGTCTATTGTTGAGAAAAATCTCACGGAATACAAAAGATATTTTATTTCTGGTAAGGTTACGCCTGCGCAACGACAATGTAATAACTGTAAGTTAAATCAGTGTTGTTTGATGTTGTGGCTAACGTTATATAAAGTGGTAGTTCGACAAATGCTAATCTTTATTTCACGAGTATCTCGGCGAGTATATTCAGTAGTTTTACTGTATACATTGAGGGCCTGCAATTTATTGGTTTTGGGCCAATTTTGAGGCAGTCAATAACTTTTGAGCTTGAGAGAAAGCAAAGGTATACTTTTTTTATTAGGGGAGCGTGGCTGACATGAAGGAGAGCAAAAAGCTCTTGCTGTAAAAAATATCTGTTCTCACAAAAGTTACCCTTGCTCTCACCTGAATTGTTGCAAAAGATAGAAAAGGGAATATTGTGTTTTAGTTGTTTCCTACTTTGGAAATACGTAATTGGGTGTTTTTATGTATTCTTGGCGGTTCTGCGAATTTTTATTTTACTTCGCTCGTACAGTTGTACGCAAAAGCAAATTGGTCCAAAGATGTGGTCCTATAAAAACGGAAAATAAAACTGTAGGAAAATTGGTATATATATATTTACTGCTTTTCGCGTGTCTATTTACAATATAATAACAGACTACTAGCTTAAGAACATAGCCAGATTTAACGATTCGAAGCAGCAAAATTTCATCGAAAACGTCTAAGTCCGATCACTTGACCTTGTAAACTGAAAGAATATAGGACATGTCTCACATTGATGTCGGAATTAATCCTTAAAATATTTGACAAAAGAATTCAGCAGCATTGTAAGTTACGGTATCTGCGGTATTCGTCGCTGACTCACCAGATACCGTAAATGCTCGTTTTAACGCCCGGTCTTGATTAAGGGCCCGTTTGAATAGCCGCCCGTGTGAACAGGACATAAAAATAAATAAGGGCCGGTGCTTGAATACCCGCCCGGTGTAAAGGTTTTTTTTTTGCGGATTTGTACCTGCGGTGCGTAGAAAAAGTCAGAATTTCCATTATTCTCGTTTAAATCATACTTGAGAACTGGAAATGACAATATACGGTATTAATTATTGTAACGATCGATCTCATCTACCGGTATTTTTGTGTGTAATTTCACTTTAAAAATACCAAGCGCCCCTGCTTGAATAAGAGCCGGTTTGTATAAGGGCCCGGTTAGTGAGTATGTTTAAAAAATAAGCGCCCGGGCTATTAAACGAGTAAATACGGTAATCAACGTTGATAGTAAGTAATGAATGTCTTTTTCCAGTGGTCCAACAATCCGACACGTGTGAATTGTGTGGGTCGGCAATCAAATTGAAATAAAAATTCAGATGAACGCATTTAATTAGACTCAAACACAAAATGATTTTATTTCAATTTCCGTTTTATTTCACCTTTTCAGTTTGATAATTGTGATAATTTTATTTTATATAAAATTGTCAATATTTTCGAACGCAGATTGGTCACGCAACATCAGTTGCAAACGTCAACAAACACGTGAAGCGTGCAGCGTGTTGCCAAATAGTAACCACAGACGCCACGTTTGCGGAGAGGGTTTCGCCATCTTTTCTTCCTTCTTCCTTGCTCCTCTTCTGGCAGGCACTGGTATATAGGAATATTTTCAATAACCGAAGATAAGGTCACCACCATGTCGTCTGTTCGACCCCAAAGTGCAGTAACGTCTCAAAAAGCTGTCCCACCTTTGAATTTGACTGACCTTCCACAACAGACTGGAGTGAGGAGTCGAAGGTTTGCTAATATTGAATTTCCGTATAAAACTATTATTGGATATGGATAAGAAAATTATCCACTATATTTTATATTTATGTGTTAATTTTTAATTATTCCACTTAGATTAGAAAGTGTTACTAAATTTTAGATTATCAGCAATATGCTACAGTCAGACAATGTAAAACAGAAATAATGATGCTCTTTTGTTTGCTCTCAACAGATCAAGTACAAGACCGGCAACAGCAAGTCACACTGCAAGATCAAGTTTGACTAGAGCAAGTTTTGCAGAAAGTGTAAGATTCATTTTATTTTCCAATGTTGACATGGAAAAAACTCTTTTAAAAGAGTCGATTTTCAATAAAAGTTTTTTCTTATTATCTAACATAACCAGCGTTATGTGTTGAATGAAATTTCTTTCACAGACTGATGAAACAACATTACATCGAAATGCAGTTGCATTTTTCGATACATATCACAAAGATGATTTGAAAGAAGTCATTGCTCAAACAACTGCAAGCTGGTTGCTATCATCTGATTTTAGGTGACAAAGATTACAATTATCAGTTTAAAATTTGAAAAAAAATATAAAATAAAGGATGTTTGTTGCACTCTGATACCTTTCAATAAATGTCTTGTAGCCAGGGTATTGTAAAGAAGTATATCGTGCTCTTAGTGTTATAAAAAAAATTTTAAGCAAGTAACAAATCTCTCTGAACTAAAAAAGTAGTAAGTAATGAAAAGATAATTATTTCATGGAAAAATTACTTTCTATTTGGCGTATTTATTAATTTTGATTGATATTTGATCAAAATTATTCATAAAAAAATTTTCAGAGTGAATACTCTACCACTGAATGGAATGATGTCAAGTCTCAAGTTATCACAAGATCCCCATGTTACCATTTTACTTCCGAAAAAGAAGAATATTCCCAGTTTTGAATACAGAGAATTACATCAGGTAAAGATGGTTTGGTTTTGACATAATATTGCATACATATTAATATTTTCATATTTGCTTATTCTGATTGCTCCAAAATTTGTTGATAGTAAAGGTTGAGTAGGTCAACTTTTTGAATTTAAAATTTATAACTTATAAAGTAGTTGTAAAAAATAATGACTCTTTCATGTTTATGTTCTAATTTCGAAATCATTATCTAATATAATATGTTGATTTACTTATTTGAAATATTTTTCAGATTATCAGAGATTTGACAGTTGGTATATTTGCTCTCAATCAAATGCCATCTTTATCATTTGAACCAAATTTTGATTCAAGTACAAGTTGTCAGTTACCTCTTGCTTATAAAAATACAACAGTTGGTGAGTGGAAGAAATATTGTCTTGTATTTTTTCAAATAAAAAACATTGTCTATGTAGATGGAAGGTTTGATATTGCTTGGAATTTTGACATAAATTTATTGGATTTAAAACATAAATATATTTTAATGAAATATGAAACTTGTAGAAGTGCTTTGGGAAAATGTTCATGTTTAGAGAGACTTTCCATCACCATGTTATATGAAAATGTATTTGCAGATTCTTGTTACTGGGGTAGGCTAATATTTTTATGAGAATTTCCCCAAGGCAAGATTGCCAAAATTATACTGAAGAATATTGTCATCATAGACAAATTCAAGTCTCAAATGCTATTCAAAAATTGTTTAGCAATATTTTCTATACTTTAATCAACTTGTGAGAAAATGTATATCGATTGATTGTATTGCACGGGTTAAAGTCCCAGTTAACCCAATTTAAGTTCTCCACAACTTCCAAAGTGTATTAATGTTATGTGGCCAAGTCGTATAAGAATCCTTGTTATATTATCTGCTAAGCTATGAACATGCTTAGTAGATGCTGGTATGTAGCCATTTTATGCAAACATCAATGAATTTTTTTATCTCTATTTTTAGGCCAGATTTTGATTTCTCTCGACTACAAAATGAAAAGTTTATGGCATGGTGCAACAGTTCCAGATAAGAAGCGATCCGCTTTGGCTGAAAGATGGAGATCATTTGTTGATATGGATAAAGCTACAGGACAAGTTAACAAGAAAAATGCTTTTCAAGAATTCACTGTGGCTGGTACATTTAGTACCGCAATATTAAGATAATATATTATTATGCAATACTTGGTTTTGAATGTTAATGGGAAATAAATAGTGATAAAAAATGATCAATTCTACTTCTACAATCACAAAAATTGTTCTGGTAATTAGTTATTGCATTATAAAGGGACAAGAAGTGTTGATATATAATACATGTATTAAACTTGTGACTGCAGACTGCTTTTATTGAGTTTTAATATTAAAATTATAATTTTAATTCTATCAGTTAGTTTTACTGGTTTTATTTATTCAACCTAAACTTCTAGCTAGACCAGAGGAACAATTTTCCACATTCCTCCCCTAATCCTATTTTATCAGTGACATGTATTTCATTTATTTTCTTACCTGATAAGCTCTCTGCACTTCTATTCAAAACGAGGTCATTGAAAAAATTTACAGTTTTTCACTGAATGACATGGTACTCTCGTAGTGTGTACCAGGTTAGAGTTAGGACATAATTTTGTTCCGATTTTTCTTATTTCAGTTCTATCACGAGTTTGGGGACTGTTTATGTGTTATGTGTTGGGGACTGTGTTAGCCAAGTGAATATCCCCCCTGCCCATAGGTTTCAGTCCCTTTACACAACTTGATGTAAAGTAGGCTAACAAAATTAGGTACCTCCATATTGGTACACACACTTCTGGAGCGCCAGATTTACCGGACCTTATAGTTAGTTCATTGTTCTTGGTCAGAGATGGAAAATTTAAATTTGTAGAGGAATAGAATCAAATTTGGTACTCCTGAAGTATGCACACCAAGATGTGTGCATACTTCAGCAAGATGTGTGCACACTTCAACCTGGGTTCAGGTTGTGCGCCATCTTGGTGTGCATACTTCAGGAGGTCCTCAAATTTATAACCAATTTTATAATATTATCCAATTTTCTGTAACTGCTGGATATTTTTTTCCTTGGTTTATGTAATGATGATATTCTTATTTATTTTCCTGATATGTTTCTAGGACAATATTATTTGAATGAAGATGAAAAATATGCTGGGATCTACAAAGAACTCAACGAAGTTGATCCGAATGAGTTTGTAGCGAAAAGAGAAAATGAATTTTTTAACAGTTATTCAGGTAGATTTCATTGTTTGAAAAAGATTACTTTTTGTTTACTCTTTTATCTTTTTGAAGTAGGATTGCTGAAGAAAGTAGCCTTAAAAATTTGAACCCTTCTTAAATTATATAATTGCCATGTATGATGAGTTATATGTGTTTGTCATCTGATTGATCTTTGTCAAGTATGGTCTATTGATAAAACATGGTTATCAATAGCCATACTTGAAAATTAAAGTTTTGATGTGATGGTACTTTAATCTAAAGTGTACACACAATAAATCATTTGAAATTTGTTGGTTCCTCCCTTAGATCAAATCTTTTTGACAATTTGAAGTAGTCTGTTTGTCCTCAAGCAGACAAATTTGTTGATAATTGTAGCAAGATTGATTCAAACAATATTTTCACTAATTTTATCTCATTTGTTCTTATATTATGCCATATATCATTTTTGGATCCAAGGCATATTTCCTGTTTGGTTTCATTATAACATTTGTGCAGTGTTGATTACTTTTTATGTAATGTCAAATATTCATTTTGCTACCAGAAATTGGAGAGATAATTTGCACCTTTTTCAATTTTGTTGTAATTCAAATATTTCTTGCTGAGCAGATATCTTCTATGTCAATCAAATGATCATTATGTAAATTTCTTTGTTGTTGGTTTTATATTTAGTATTTAGTTTCATATTTTATATTTATACACCACGTCCACATCCTAAAAATATTTTCTTATAAATAATATCAATAAAGCTACTCCTTCTTTCTAAGTTAATACAATAATGCTTTGTGTCAAATTTCACTATTATTATTGAAAACTATAGCTTACACGTTACACATAACCATGTATGTAATATATATAAATTGTATCATTGGAGAATCTTTTATCCACTGGCCATGCTTAATTGACTAATAAATAAAATGGTCATTTTTCAACACTGACATATTATTTGCTCATATTGATTTCTATATTGTGTTTTGTTTGATCACGTCTAATATCCGTTATAAATTGGATAAAAAACCAATATTACTACAGAATAAAAAATAGTAACCATACATTTACAAATTATACAATAATAATATGAAATGGTGAATGGTTTTTTCACTTTCTCAATATAATGTCACAGTTATTTACGACTTCAAGCAGTAAGATTTTTTTTCGAAATGATGTTGCCATAATATTGCTTCATACAATTTATTTTGTTTCAGAATTTTTCCGATGTATGATGAATTTCCACATTGACTCAGTTCAAGCAGCTTCTGAATCAAATGTCCTTACCTTTCAATCCAATTTTGACATCGAATCACAAATTCTTGCTCCAGAAGAAAAAATTGAATTCTCATCTCAACAAAGAATAAGAAGAAGATTACGTCTTCAGGTAGATCAGTTGTAGTTATTACTAGTGGTATTTCGGAATAATGCACCTTGGTTAGAGGCAAACTAGTTTTGTATATCATCTGTTTGAAGAAGTATGTATGGTCAAAAGCAAAGTTCTGTCTTCTCAACCAAATGTCAGAAGAAATAAAATTGATTGATTGATTTGGTACAGAATACTGCTGGTATAAGAAACTACTTCATTCTTCTGTCAGAGATATCAGTTAAATATCAATATCATATGAAGATAATACAGTTACTTAAAGAAATAGCATAAAGATTTTGATTTGAAGTAATTTTCCCAAATATATTTTCATGATAATTTTATTGGCAGTGACTATCAAATGCCTGAATGTTTTGGCTAATTGATTATGATAATATAGGTAATATATTAAAGCCTTTGTAAGTATACTAATTATCCTAATAGATGTCATAAGAGCTAATTGCATATTTGTTTTTTGTATCAAAAATTACATTTCAATGGTATTTAATCTTCCATCCCATTTCTCATTTTTTTGTTCTTTAGATGGAAGTAATTCGCAAAAGTCTTGAACTTGATCCAGATACATGTCGATTGATTGAACTTGTTAAACTGATTTCATTTTTATCTCCATTACTTGCTGCAATGAGGAAAAGAATGATGAGAATTCCTGACGTTGATTCTATGTTATCTAGAGTTTCAAGTAGGGACCAAATATCTTTTGTCCTCTATCAAAAATGAGGATTTTTTAATTTGAGAAATCCTAAAAAGAAGTAGGACTCAAAGCAGCTGCTCAAAGCAGTTCAATAACTATTTCCTAGCAGTGAAAAAACACAGCTTAAAAAGTTATGTGTTATCACTGAAATCCCAAGCACTACAGGATGACTCAAAAACAGGACCCTTAAATTTCTGATTTACTACTAAGAAACATCGAAAATGTTTTCAACACTTGAACTTCTGTCTGTACATAATAAACTGTTGGGCTTCAGATGCCATGAACATATATTTGTTTAAATGAGACTTGAAATTCAGGCTATAATTTTATTTATCATGCATCATATTGCAAATCAATAATAAAATTACATGTAATAAACAGTTTATATATTATATAATATTACAATATATATATAATAACCTGTTTTTTATAGGTGAAGCAATACAAACTGACAATCAGATTCCACCATTTGCATTTGGTGATGATAAAGGAAGACCTTGTCTTTCATTTTCTGGACCTGGTGTTACTCATACTCATGGTGGCATCAGTTTTGATGTTGAGACAACAGAAATTGAGGTGAGGTCTTATGAATAATGAATTGATTAACAAACATTTGGTCACTATATCGACATTACATTATAATACTTATTCCAATGCATTTAGTTACAATTGAGAATGCATATATATTGTACTTATAACACAGAGAAGGCTTGAACAAAATATGTTATAAACTGTTTGATCTGTTGCCATTTTGTTCTTGACCTTTCTGAAGCGTCAAAGCGTGGTTTCCCTATGGCAAACACACATTATTAAACAGATAAGTGGATTTGAGAGTCCTTAGCAATGGCACTGTTATGTTATTAATAAGCTAATATTTATATTTCAAAATAAATAGACTACACAATTCATGTTTTATATAGGCTGCGATATTGTATGCTTTGATTAAATGAATATGGATAAATTTTTTACAGTATATCCAATTCTTCTTGATGTTATTCGATAAAATGAGATTGGATTTATTTATGCTATATCTTTAATCAAACTTGGTGATATAATATATATTCATAAGGATGCTCACATTCAAAGAATTGCTAGTCTACTGTTGTTTATATATATGCACCAACTTGATTTGCCATGCCTGGCTTTTACTTTAGTGATCTAATCAGGTTAACACACAAGATATATATCTCAGAATAATGTCTTGGGTTAACTAGCAAATACCTTGCACCCATGTCTTCTTTTTTGGTATAACAAAAGGTGTATTCTTTGCTGATAAATAAGCATTATGGCTTTAATCAAAGTAAATTGGTATATTTTAGTGGCTGTAAGCTTTGATCAGAGCGACAATAGAAGTAACAAAGTCTGTACAGTTATTTGAAGGTTATAAATAACACTGGAGTCAAGATGACTGTCATCTATAAATTAAATTTTATTTATAACGTTTTCACAAACTATATGATTCATTTTGTTTGAGAAAGTGATCGTATTTTTACATTTCATTGTGTCACTGTTGAGCCAATGTAGGACTAAATCAATAAATACTCACACAGAGATTTCATGTCATACATTCATTGTTTCACATGTTTCTTCAGATAAATTACATACTATTATGTTTTGATGTGATATTTGATAGGCACAATATATAAACATCAAAGACAACAATACTACAATGATCTGATTGCTTATACAATAGAAAAATTGAATAAAAGAACAATTATAGCGACAGTTATCTCACAAATTAAATTTGAAACAGGCTTTGTTGATGTTTATGGTGATATTATTATAATAAATAGACTGATTATTTCATAAAAGTGCTTATTTGATTCGAAATGATAGAGGAAATAGGAAATGTCTGACAGTCATAAGTTTTGTTACACTATTTGGAACAAAAATCTACTTTTCACAGTTATATCAGTGTTTCCTTTTGACATTACAGCTTTCCCTTCACTTTCTTTTTTTAAATTTTGTGATGTGTTTATTTGAGCTGACCAAGTTATAGGATTATCAGCCTATAGGTATAATAATAAAAATTAGTGTTTGTATGCTGACATGCAAATAATACAGTAAGGTTTAATCAGGACATGAATGTGTGAAACAACACAAAAGAAAATCAATAAAAATAATGTATTAATTCCCAAATGTACTCATTCTTTGGTTACTACCTCTACCACAATATTTTGCTATTCAAATTTATTCTATTTCAGAAATTTGCAAATGAAGAACTTTGTGACGAAATCCAGAATCAAGCAGCTGAACATTTGCATCATATATTTGAAGAAGAACCAAAACGTCAACAATATATCGTACCAACTTCTAATCTTGGTATTGTAGATTGCAGTTTACTCAAAAATGAGGTTTTTCATGATTTAAAAAAAGATTGTCCTATATCAGCGTTACTTCCAGCGATTTACTCTTTGCATCAACTTGCACAACTGGCTTACCCCGACATCTTTCGAGGCTTCCATTTTTAAGCCAACAATCCATTGAGAAGGATGGTTTCCAGAAAATTTAGCCTATGGTAAAATTAAATAGTTTGCTGTAAACTTGATGATTAAAAAATTATGCAGCCGGTTATCGATATTGAACAGTTGACGAAAACGACATGCTTTTCAAACGGGCAGAAGGCCAGTCCCCCTGTTTGGCGCCAGTTGGGGGACTACTTCTCGACTCAAATGCACAGAATTACGACCAAGATCGCCATGGCCACCAATTTACGGTAGTTGCAATTTCTTTCTCTGTCACGCGGAACACCCAGAAGAAGCTTGCGGAACAACAGTGTTTCGTGGAACACTCTTTGAGAAATGCTGCCCTAAATTGTCTCATTTTTTTCTAGACGACAAAGAATATTTCATGTTACACATTCCACTGACAACATATTATTCTGCATCACCTCCTCAACCTGGATGGCTACATTCCATGTATAAAGAACTTGCTGTTTTGAGACCAAAACGTCTTCCTATGAGTGACCTTCAGATATTAGAACTGTTTAAACAGATTTTTGGATTCAAGAAAGCTTTTGCTAACAAGGTGAAATATGTTTTATTCTATTTGCAATGTTTAAATTCACAGTCACTTGTATGTTGCACAAAATTACCGTAGCTATGAAAGTAGCGTAGAAATGGATGAATCTTCAGTGAAACTTCATTTTTATAATTTTTCCTATTTATCTAACAAGTATGTAAGAATATAGCTGCTGTTTTATCATTAACTTCATTATTATCAAATTTTCTACCTAATTATCCCCTTTTTTATCTAAGATGATAAATATTGTAATTTGTATCATAGATTCTAGAACCAATCAAATTTTCAAATATATTCGAAAATGGTTATATCTGACATAGTAAATTCTTGATTTTGGGAAGAATTTAGAATATTTTCATATGAAAATTTGTCTTTTTATTCATTCGATATCTCATAGTCAGACCAGAAATAAACTTGGTTCATCTTCTTACAATGTAAAAAAGATGGATGATATTATTCATAGTAATGTTTATCTCGAACATTCTTCATTACAAAATTTAACGTTTCTATGAATTTGCAATGTTTCAAATAAATTTCTTTGTTGAAGGCGACCTATTTTAGAATTCTTTAAATAATCCATATTCAAAAATATTATTTCAGAATGTATTCGGAATAGTAAACCCGTTTTGTTTTGGCGATTCTTAGTTTATATTAAACTTCATCTTATTTCAAATTTCAGGGAGTGGAAGCTGGATTAAAAATGTGTTCTTGTCGTGGACTCGTTGCTCCATTCATTGCATTGATGAGAAAAGTTAACACAAATGCTTTATTTTCCCCAGACTTACAGGTTAGGTCATTTTCCGTCCTAAAATTTCCAGTCTGTTATCTTATAGTCTATCATTTTTATTTTCTGGATATGTTATTGTTACTCTGCAGAGTCGTATTTAAGTGACTATTTTTATCGGACATTTGTATAACTGGCCAAACAATGACATACCAATTTTAGTGTGATTAAAATTTATTGATCTTCCGTTCTCTAATTCTCTGATTTTTATTAAAAACAATGAAAGATATTTGAAGTCACAGACTGGTCTGCAAAATAAGAGTATAGTGTTGTAAATTAGCTACAGTTTCCACTTTTCTACTTTATTCAAATTGAAAAGAAATCTTTATAATTATCAGATTATGTGGATAATAGGACATAGTAGGCATATATTTTATTCGATTCGCGGTAATTAGAGTTCTTCTCATTAATCTTGTCTTAATGTTTAGTTACTGACAGTAATCGATTATTTCTCTTTGCAGGGAATGACACTTGTTCATTATGCAGCGATGTATAATCATCCTGAAATATTGAGTTTATTGCTAAATCAGAGATTGTCTGTTAATGTACGTCGCACTGCTGTCCGTGTTAAATCAGGTCTATTTCAAATTTCTTATATTTGTTTTCTGTTTTTGACAGGATTTACTTGTTTCGGTCAAATCTTTACTGTTTTCACATTATATTAACTCCACACCATAAAGAAAATACTAGGTTATTCTTGGCCTGAAATTTGTGAAAATATAAAGAAAAATTGTATTCAAATATTGCCAACATCATACTCACCCAAGCCGTCTTTATAATTTCGGGACAATTTCTCCTTGATATGGTGATTGATATGGCACAAGTAACCAAACATATTTTGAAGATTTTCTTCAAATACCTAATCAACAATTAAATACATATTCAGTCCTTATTCATTAGAATACAATAGGTAGTTCATTTGTAATTTCCTGACTTTACTACAGACAAGCGAATGTCATCTGTTGGCAACAAAACTGAGGAATTGGATGAGAGAACTGGTATAAAATGTTGTTGAGTGCACTTTGTGTTTGACATAATTATATCTGATTTTGCCGGTATTGTTTTTGTTGACTGTGTTTGTTTTTTGATTAACAGTTTTTTCAGTATGAATGTTTTTGAGCATAATTTAATATTAATATCAATATTACCTGTTTGCTATATTAAAGCATATTCATTGATGAATACCAAAATTTCTAATTATCAATTCAGTCAGACAGCATGATTGGCCAGAAATAAGAATCATCTAAATCATATGAGGAACATATCGCTTTGTGTAGATAACACAAATCGCTTTGTGTAAATAATCTATCAAATACTTACCGTAATACCAGTAAATTAATCAAGTCCAAGCATCTGAAACAAATAATCGACTAACTAATCCCATACTCGACATGGACTGGTAACCAAACGAGAGGCCGTGATGTGCCATATAACTGAATTGTCTTATCATTTTTTCTTTCCCCCAGGATAAATATAAAAAATAATCCTATCTGAAATTCCAATTTTTTTCATCTTCAAGCGTTTTTATTTGTTTGATGATATTTGCCATAAAATCTTATGCACAAACCATCAATCTTGCAAAGAACTCGACGTTCATAACTTGCTTCAACCAAGTGCCTAAAGTATTAAGCCTATTCCAACCTAGAACAATGTTATCAAATCCAATTTACTTACAAAAGCAACCCAAATTGGCTGTTTACATATAAGGTTTTTACTCGAAAACACGTTCTTATTATCAATATTAATCAATTTTATTGATCGTCTTCGTGGTTTGTGATCTTATCATTGTTAGTTTAAATTAAAAACATATTAAATAATCCTTTATATAATATATATATTTGCACTGACATTTTGTGTTTTGTTTTTGTTCTAACAATGATGAAATAATAAAAATGAATAACATTATGATATACTATATTTTGTGTTGCATGGCATTGAATATAAAATATTCCTATTTTCTGGTAATTTTACGATACCGATTTGATCTTTGTTACCCTAAAAAATGAATGTAATAGACTTTGAAATGTCTTTGTTCATAACGAACTTTATAAAATACTTAAAGAGGTTTGGGAATTCATGTTAGTTTTTCAGTGAATATTTAATTAATCCTTTTGATAATTCTATGTTTACAAGTGCATATTACATTCTATAATGCTTTAAGATATAGGTAACAGAAATAAATATTTGCTACTTAAAATAGTGAGATGTGATTTTAGTCTTCTTGATTTTAAAATTAGTACTCGAGGCAATACACTAGGGACAGCACAAACATTTTATAACTTTAGAAGCCATTTCAGTTACTATTGATCTAGGATAGTTATAATGCACTTCGAAGTTAATCTCTAATTAATTGTATTTTTTTAGGATTATCACCATTGCATTATGCTGCAAGATCTGGATCAACTGAAAGCTGTACATTACTCCTTGCATGTAAAGCTAATGTCATATTAAGTGATGAACATGGATGGTCCGCTGTTCACCATGCTGCACATTGTGGTCATGTATCCGTATTAAGAGTTTTATTAAGAAAGAAGCAAAGATTACTTGAATTACCTGCTACTGGGGGTATGTCTAGCTACATTGTCATTGGAGAGTGCAACAATTTTGTTTCTAAGGGTCTTTATGTTTTTGAGTATTTTCGGTACTGTCAACTACCGTACTTCAATATTAGAAATTATTGAATCGGGTCTAAAGATTGATTCAAGCTGAGAGTTATACTGTACTACTGTTACTATGTTATTGCACAGAAGATGAGTTGAAATTTTTTTCATAGACTTACTTTCTATTTTTTATATGTTACACTTCTTTAGTTACTAGATTCTAAACACGATAAGCACTCGAAAATAAAATAAATTCGAGAAAACGTTCAAAATAACCTCTTATTACTAAAAATAAAGAAATTAATAAAATTGTTTTCATCAATGTTTATTTACAAGGTGACTTCGTACAACAATGAATATATGGTTTGAGATTTATGATGATTCCACGTTAGATAATGACAAAAAATTTTCACTAGATTTATTCCTCATCATCATCGCTGGTATCATAGATAAAATAAAAGTAAAGAATTCCTCACCATATTTGTGTTGTAATTAATTTTATTGTAATTCCTTGTCACCTAGCAATATCCGACATATCTCATATTTCTCTGTGTTAGATAATGCCAAATTGTTCTCTGTGACTACTTACATTTAGGATTTGTGTAGCATTTTCTCATACTGGTAGTTTTATTTTGTTCTTCCATTGTCACCCCACTTTTTTTAAACCAAAATATTTGTGGGAGACTCAAGCTACTCAATTCATTTTATGCATTTGTAAGAAACGTACAATTGAAAAATCTCAAATACAACCCGAACTTACAAGAATGTGATTTTGAAAAAAGCTGAAATTCTGTGTTTCTGCAATAGATTTCGCCTTCCTTGCTGGAATATTTTTCATTTTTATGTGATAGCCAATTTAATGTTTATTAACTATTGCTGATGAATTTTCAACAAGGAAGTTGACTCTCGTAGAAATGTATATTATAATTATTCATATCATTTCATCATCATTACTCTTACGTTTTATATTAGCATTGAATTTTTCCATTTCTTCTAATCAAGCATCCGTGTTTGAAAGTTCGCTATAATAATCGGATCAGTGTATGTGTTATTGATAGATCACATAGATGAAGTTGTTGTCCGTGTGGGGGTTAGGGTTAGGGCAGTGCTGAACACTTTTATTTACTATAATTTGTTGTTAGTAAAATTTTTCTCAATATGCTAGTTCCCAACATAACAGACATTCCATTTTTTAATAAATAAATTTACTTATTTGTGTATGATACCAGGGAAAAATGAAAGAAGTGTTAACTTTCTTTTAATATATATGCTTATATTCTTCAGTGATTGCTCAACTCCATTTCTTCTCGCTGCATCTGGTGGATCTGTAAATTGTGTTGATTTTTTACTGAAAATGGGAGCCAAACATGACATCACAGATTCTACTGGAAACACTGCAGTACACAGAGCAACTTTAAATTTCCACACTCCCGTACTTGAATATTTTATTCGTCGATTGAACCAAAATCCACCAGTCAAAAGCCTCCCTGTTTGGGATATTGTTGTTGGTGAGTATTTCATGAAAACTTGTTTAGTTACAATGATTGTTGCTTTTTGATATGATGGGATTTACATATTTATCCTGGGAGAGGAAAGCCTATAAGTCAGTTTAATCATATGACGAACCATGGCCTCTCGTCCGGCTACCATTCCATGTTAATTATGGGATTAGTTGGCCAGTTATTTGTTTTCAGATGCATGGACTTGGAAAGATGGAGGAAGCCTCAACTGACCAGCGGTTACGTGAACCACACTGCGGCGGTGAGGAGTCCCGCAATCCTATCGCACATAATCATTCCTGTATTGTATTCGAACCCACGGTACCCAGGGTTATCAGAGGTGCTATGGCGAGTGTATTCCTAACACTTAGCATGATGCACCACATCGACGATCATTTGTAAATTGATCAAACAAAGTGTTTTTATATGTCTTTCATATTTTATGTCACAAATCTGTTGGATATTGTTCAAAAAATTTGATTGCTTTTTAGGAATGTTAAAATCCAGCTCAGTGAAAAGACAAGATGCTGCTTTGAGATGTCTGGAGATGTTACTTCATAGAACACCTGCGTATTGGAGTGATTTGTTATCTGCAGGAGCTGTTTTACCTCTTGTTTCCCTACTGAACAGTGATAAGAAAATAAAAGGTATTGATAATTTTTTTCACCACTGCTTGCCAAAATATAGAATTTCAAAATGATTCTAGCAATAATGTCCGGATATGAATTCAATGGAAAGAATCTTCCGTTTTGTTTCAACGTTTTAGTGTCACAAAATGATAAATCATCCTCCACTATCAATACTACAAATGTAGCTTTTCATCAGTGTATGTGGGATAGCTACTCAGTACACAAGATTATCTGACTCTCTATCATAACAAGTATCTATCATAACTTAGTCTTCTGAGTTTTAGTTTGGTATGATCGAAACACGAAACTCTGTTTCATATTGTACTTCCTCGAATAAATGCTAAGCGATAAATGGAAGGATAATGGTATTGCAATTCCACAAATTAAAATATACCGGTAATTTGATTTGAACAAAACATTGCATCCAAAATGCCTCTTTTATATGAAGAATGATATTAGATGGTTAAATTTGAATACATATAATGTTTGCAATTTCAGCATCAGACAACTTAAGTACTTCACATTGTGATTCAGTAGTTCCAATACGATCACTGGCTTGTTCAGTTATTTGTTTGATGTCTGAAAATGATAAAGTGAGAAGAGAAGTTACTTCTGCTGGTGCGATAACAAGTAAGTATTTCGTTCCTGAAAAAAAAGTTTGTTCAAATCAGATATGGGAGTGGATAATCAATTAAATGTTCCAGATGCATGGATGTGATGAGTAGATGAAGGCATAAATGACCAAATAAAACTTAAACTCGTCTTAATGGTTGGTTAATGTTGCTAAGCATTGCCATCTTGCCACTGTTTACCCTGGGTGTGTTCTCAGGTTCATATGCTGTGAGAGATCATTATGTGCGGCTTTAACATGAAATCCATCTTGAAAGATAATTAGCAGTACCGGTATCAGTATGGCTTTATAATGCATTATTGAATTGCCTCTAACACATTGACATATGACACCTCATGATACATTAAGCAAATCTCTACCCTATCCAAATTCAGAGATTAGTTATCTCAAACAGAAAGATCTAGTAAACATCTCACACACAAACACTCCACAAGTTTGACTCCACAAAATTAGCAGTGGAATGAAAAACTGCATTTGCTGTTTCTAATATTTGAATATGTAATAGTCGAATATAGCTGTTGCTGAGTTTAAAATTGACTAATGATTAAGATTTTGCTCTTTATTGTATCAATGGAATCATTTTTTTTTCAATTTTAGCTTTAATTGAATTATTATCACCAAATGGAGAAAGTGCTGCATCAGTGATATGTGAACTGCAATCTCGTTCTTCCGTAGTTTTATCTGATCTTGCATGTGTGGATGATAATGCTGCAAAGATTGCTAAACATGGTGGCATTCTTCCTCTTGTCAACTTATTACAGCATGATGTTAGTATTTGTATTCATTTATGGATTTACGGGTAGTTTTTTTTTTGTTTATTTGTTCCTTTGAAATGTTGAAACTCATATTTTATCGTCTTATAACATTGTAACCAGTAATTGGATTACAAGCAATAAGTTACCATATCATTAAAATCTTTACAAAGTTTCTGTCTTAAGATAAATATTTGGGAATTATTCCTGCAATATTATGGCCTGGCAATTAATGCATTAGCTAAATGTGCCCGTGCTCTGGTTACACTGCACCAATACATTCAATGGGGGATAACTATGTGCATTGCTGGACTCCTCGTCATCGGAGGGTTGGTTCGCCATATGGTCAAGATGTCAGTTTTCCTCTCCTCTGCAGGAAACATAAAATTACCATCTTGTTTGATTATTTTATATCCACATCCAATACATCTTAAATCCATTTAATAATGCTTATTTTAGGTTGTTGATGTCTTAGTAAATGCTGTCAATACAATTCGTTCATTATGCCAAGGTGATATAGAAGGAGATAATCAGAGACAAGTTGTAGAATGTGGAGCTGTCCAACCCCTAGTTGAGTTACTTCATGTCAGAGAAGATGTTTTGTCATCAGCAGTAGCAGCAGCAATTGCTGAGATTTGCAGATATAACAGAGAGATCCAGGTTGCAATGATATTTATGCACTATATTCTGTATCTTGTTATTTTATAGTTTGTATAAAATGGAGCCTAATTTCTACTGTCCAGTTTTTTGCAAAATGTATTTCAAATTCTTTATTGTTTCAGTTTGATTCAATCTATTCATAAGATTCTGAACAACTTTGTCATATTTGTAGCATATATTTTAGAATTCAAGCAATGATTTATTTATCTCTGATTTAAGTCATTTTAAGGCTCATTGCAAAAACATAGAATAAACCAAGGCATTCATTGAAATGCAATTCCTGTTCTTTTAAACACTGTAATTCAACATCTTCCAATTGAAAACTTTACCATGTTCATTACACAGGATATCTTTCTTGATGCTGACGTTTTGCGGCCTCTTGTTGCAATGTTGAGAAGAAGAAATTTCAATTCTAAAGTTCAGGCTGCAAAAGCTGTTGAGTCAATAAGTTATGATAATGAAGATGCGCAACAATTGGCTGAACAACAGGAAGTACCAGAAGCATTGTGTACTATGTTTCAGGTAAGGTATATGATATTTTTTGTTGTTCTATTGTCTTATTGACGTCAAATTATACTATTTTTTATTATGATGATAATGATTATTTCCCTGATATACACAGAACTTCCCCTCAAAGCAGTTATAAATGAATGAATTAATATGGACAGAAATACTGTATTAATTTTGATAAAAATTTTTAAGTGTATTGTTTGCAGACATATATACATTAACTATTTATTCAGTTTCTACTTATCTTACAAATTTTTTTTCAACTTTCTATCATGATATATTCTTTTTCAGGCTATGGCAGAACCAGTGAAGGAACGAGGTGCCTGTGCCATATGGGCATTAGCAGGAGAACATCCTGAACAACAACGCAGGATTGCTGGACAAATTGGACTCAGGCAAATGAAAGATATGTTGAGTAGTAAATCTGATGCTTTGCAACTAGTTGGTAAGTATATAATTGGATATGAATGTCATACATAATAATTTCTGAAATTTTTAAATACTGTTGAAAGAACAGGCACAGTTTTTTATATCACAAATCGTTAACTTGCACAGTCAATGAGGCATCTTGGAATCTTTTTGAAAGTACACATGACCACTTCACAAATGGTAAGTTGTGCTCAAACAGGAATTTTTCCATCATCTGAAATGCTGCGCGGTGGTGTGGCTCATCGTGCTAATCATTAGGACTATGTGAACCCAATGCGGGGGTAGTTATGTGTGAGAGGATTGCTTACGGCTTCCTCCACCATCAAGTTCATGCTTCCAAAAACGAATAACCAACCTATCCCATATCCCACATGAAATGGTAACTGAACGAGAGGCTGTGGTTCGCTATATGGTTAAGCCGTCTTATTGGCTTTCCTCTTCCCTGGGATAAATATGTAAATCTTATTCTCCTATCCCATTCTTTTTGAAGAGACCTCAAGCAAATAGGCACTATATTTCATTGAAAATAAGTCAAACTAATTCATTTCAGGTTGTCAAGCTATTGCTGCTACAGCATATATGAGCAGTTCTGGACAGCGTGAATTATCAGAATATGATGATATGATTTCTAATTTAATAAGGTTATTGAGACTCAATATAACAAAACGACCTGTTGTTACTGCAGTTATTCACGCTATCAGTAACTTATGTGTTGGTAAGTGTTTTAAAATGAAAGATTGTATTCCAACCATATACATTAACTTATCAATTACACAAAAATAGGGTATACTGTAATTCATATTGTGAATATACGCTGACCTCATAAACAGAACTTATAAATTTCTGAATTACTTCTACGAAAATGGAGAAAATTTATTTAACACTTGAACTTCAGAAGTTTCAGTAATCCAGGATGCTTTGCACAAAAGTTATGTATATACGTATATATTATATGTATCTCTTTAGAATATATTCCAAATGACGTGGGATTTGTTTTTTGGAGTCATCCTGTATATCTTCTCCAATATATAGGGTAACTGGAAAGTTAATAAACATTTTATTGGTTCCAACCTTGCTTTCTGCATATTCATTAAATTAGTCAGATCCACTTGCTTGTTTTCTATGCTGTTTTCTGTAGCCGCATGTTTGGTTGCCGCTTTTTGTTTCAACACACTATCATGTATGTGTTGTGATATTGTGTCAATTGTGTGATATAGTGACCTTTGACCCGTGTTCGTTCATGTCTGAAGGTGACTTTAAGTTCGTATACTTACCACATGTTACGGTGGTACATTCTTACATTAGCTGTTATGAGTAGGTACTGTGTGCATTAACTGTTAAGTTTATCTATCTGGAATGTGTTCTGTTTCGAATTTGAATAAAGTCTGCAATAGCAATATAGTTGTGCGTGTATACACACCACCTTACAAATTGTTAATCTTTTTTTCCTATTTCACATATTTTGGAAATATATATAGAAATATTTTAGTACAGATATTTTCCTACTCATAAGAATTTCTCATCATTGTTTATATATTCAGGAGTTGCTCACCAAAACAACAAATATGTTCAACAGATACTATCTGAATATGGAGCGATCGAGTTACTTGCTCAAAGGGTGTGGGAATGCACTCATGATGAGTGTCTGCAGGTAAGAAAAGTAGATGTCAAAGCTAGTCATCGAATCTCGCTCTATTTCAATCTTTTTCTTGAAGGGAGAAAGAGGATCAAGAAAGGATGTAAGCAATCATAACAAAATCTTGTCAAATTACAAAACTTGGATAAATATTTATCGCAAGTTTATGAATTGGCAAAATTAGGCGCATTGAGTCTAAGGGTCTTGGGTCTTCAGTCATGCATATGGTTGAAGATACAAATATATACAAACAAAATAGATTTTTCCCATATTAACTGGTGATATATCACTGATACAGACTATAATGATTGAAATTTCCCTGCTTTTTGTGTAAAGGTTGAATTGTTACATTGTCTTGCTTGTTCTGTTGTTGGTTGTCCTGAGAATGAAGAACAGCTAAATCAACTGGATACTTTTGGTCTTGAAATAATTCTGGAACTTTTGAATTCATTCAATCAAGTAAGTAATATGTAAATTGGGATCGATTGGAAACTTTGACTTTTGACAATTTGGCAACTATATTTTTGCATTAAATGGTATTTACCTATTCAACAACACAGAATTGTGCCAGAAGTTCATTCCAGACTTGTTACTTTATTTAATTCTCATTTCATCACTGTGACCAAAAACTGTTAAATATTACGAATATATATTATGAATATTATCAGATCACTTTTATGAAATTCACAAAAAATATCCAATTTTTTCTAGCGAGTGAGGCAGCGTGCAGCAATGTCTCTTGCAATTTTTGCATTCAATCGACCTTTACAACAGAAAAAGATATTGAAGTTAGGAGGTCTCACCATTTTAACATTTGAAGATCTTCTGTCATCTCATGATCATGAAACTAAAGCGGAGGCAGCATTTCAGGTATTGTTTGTTATTGGTATTACTGTATGAGGCTCGGCGGTTCGGGTATCATGAAATACACTTACCAGCACACCTTGATTACCTTGTGTGGTTCACAGGTTCCAATCCTGTGGGGGTGCGAGAGGATTGCTCAGCCATCCTGTCAGTCGTAGGGTGGTTAACGTAAGCATTGGTTGGTTGCGCCCTTCTTATTCACCAAGTCCATGCATCTATAAATCCCATTCCCAACATGGACTGGTAAACGGTTGAGAGGCCGCTGTACGCCCTATGTTCAAGTCGGCTTTCCTCTCCCAGATAAATAGAAAACCCTATTCTATCCTCAAGATCAAGTATATGAAGATAGCAATTGTAAGTTTATGCAGATGATTCAAACTAGCTCATAATTTTTTTATTTTCATGCAAATTGCACTTTTTTGCTTATCAAGTGACTAATTCCAAGTTTGGCTGAGTACATTTAAATTATATTTGTGTCATTCTCTTTTGAATTTGTATTCCAACCTGAATTTCAAGAAGGTTTTATTTTATCAGATGGTGATACTTGCGAAAGTTATTGTTGATTCAACGTTGGTTGAAGTATCAGCTCAAGGAATTCTTATTCTTGTTGAATTGCTCAACAGTAATAATAAAAGAGTATTGATGGTGACAGGTAGGTGAATTATTTTGTCAACGAACTTATTGTCTCTCGCTCTGAAAAGGGCCCTACATAAGGAGTCACTCCTGAGTAAGGAACTACTATAGTTTGTAATGCCCGGAATGTTTTCGAATAGTTTGGCATTGCATACCCATTTTATTACTTTTTTACCCTGCAATGTCATCATAGGTAAATGGATTTTTGCGACTATCAATAACATATAGACACAGGGGTGGGCACGGTTTTTGGAGCAGAAGCCAAAAGTTTTGCCCATCTAGACAGACGGTGTGCCATGTAAGTGTGACGTGAAAGTTACATTTTATGAACAATATTTACAGTGTTGCAAAGGTGGAAAACAATAACCCCTGTTCTTGAAACTAGATTTAATCGTAATTTAAAAAAATTCTTCAAGCTATTTTTTAGCTAAAACATCAAAATTTGGTCTGTTTGGATGTGGCAGCATCAGGCTGGCGGGATTGAATTACTCAACGGGCCTTAATATGCCCATGTGAGATATAGAGTAAGAAAGTAAAAAGACAACATTTCTTTATTTGGGTGGGGAAGTATCGTTAATTTCAATCATTGTTTTCTACCTTTTGTTCGCTCTCCTGATTTCATAATCAGTTTTTATTTATTTATTTTTACCATTCATTTTATTGTTTTGCTGATTATGGAGTCGAAATAAACTTATTATACTTATTATTATTATACCTTTAGCTCAGTGCATAACAAGTTTATCACATACTCGTGCCGGAGTATCAGATGCATTAGTAACATCAGGAGTTGTTCCAAAGTTGTTGAAAATATTGTTGTCAGATAGTGATGTAGTTCGATTGGCATCTGCACAAGCACTTGGTAAGTATTTTTGATTACTGTACTTTATGTATATTTCGATCTCTACATGCAATTTACAATGCATGGCATATTCTATTTCATCTAAGTCATGATTATGTTGCGTTCGTTGAGATGAAAATTTGACTGATCCAAATTTGTTTTATTTCAATTTAATTTAAAGAAGTAGGTAGGACACTTGTTTTCGGTCAACCTTTCCATAAAAGTATCCAGTATGTCACAGTTATTTAAGCTCTAGATTATGAGCGAAAACACACTTACTGCAATATTTCACTGTACAAAAGGCTTCAAGTTTACTTCACTGTGATGAATTAGTATCCTCTAAATTCATTTTGCATAAGCTTGTACCTGATAATGAAAAAGAAGCCAGACATTAATATTCTATATTTATCACACAAGGATACCTGTCATTCAATCGCGTTGCAAGTCGTGAGTTGATCTCAGCGTGTCGTAGCAGAGAAGGCTTGTATGAAGCTATTGTCAATAATCTTGGCGAAGATGGTAAAATAAGTGAAGAATTTGAGGCAGAATATAAAAGACAATGTGCTGTTGGTCTCCCTATTACAAAGAAAAGACCTCCTTCTGCATCAGGTAGATTTTTATTGTTTCATTTCATTTCACAAAAAATTGTGAATATTAACCTAGTTTACATGCTGTAACAAATGACCCAACAAGCCTGCTTCAATGGGACTAAGTATATATGATTTGCCAACTTCATGTATATTAAAAACAAATCGAATGTTGTACCTGTACCTCCCTTTCGTTCTTAATAAAATCATAAAGTGCCATTGCTACTAAAGTAAATAACATATCATATTTTCTTCTACCTAAAAACTGTTGCATTTAAAAACTGCATGTATATATATTTGTAGCACCTCGGAGGCCGATGTCTTCAATGTTTTGTGGCGATGATAGAAAAAACAAAGGGCGTTCCAGACGAGATAAAAGTAGAATGAAAAGGTTTAGTATTTGTTTTCTTTTAAATTATTTTTTCAAACATATTTTGACATTCATGAGTTTTACAGCTACACGCATTCACATTTGAACAGGTTTTAAATATTTGCAGATTGTTTTAACATATGAAATAATAGTTATCTGCTTCAAATCCTTTAGGAATTCATATTTCTGTGTTGTTAAAAATTGATACAAAATTTTACACGTTAAAGTCATGAAAGGTTGTTCTATTTGAATGGTATGCAAATTATTGTGCGCTACTTCTTGTATTTTAGTACAGTGGATTTTAGTCATGTTTGTCAAATAGTATTTAAAATTTGGGGTATTGAGTTTCAGTTTTCATGTTGCTGATTTTGTATATTATATATGTATATACCTGATGGTATCGCTGTTTATTTAAATTAAAAATCAAGAATCATCCACAGTGGGATGAGTCACATTAGCTGAATTGTTTCAACTGCATCAAAGTCTTTAAAAGTGAATATTTGACTAGACGAATATTCAAAATTGTTCTGATTTCTACTGCGAACGTTTTAATTAATGAATACTTAGAAATCTGATATTCACAAGCTATGGAGGCTCAAGCAAACAAAGACCTAGAAAGACATCAAGCAGTCCAATGTACTCTGTTATGGAAGTCGTTCCGTAACGGTCAATTTTCGATAGAGAACTGGGAACAGGTGGCAACTGAAATAAATGAAAGCTTGGCCTAATATATATATTTTGTTTATTTGTAGAAGCCAGCGCATTGGAATATCTCTAAGATCAAGATCACTTTCTCCTGCTGTACTTGTTACAGAATCTCCAAGATGATAAAACTATTTGCAGTCCATTTTATTCGTCCGGAGTCGAAAGACCATATTTTACTTATACAGTTGGGTGGTGGGTGGATATTTCATAGAAAATTGCTGCATATAGTTTTTTACTGGACTTAATTTGCCTACACCATATTAAATGGGTCCTAGATTATTGTGCTGTGCGTATATTTTTTATTATTTTGTTAAAAAGCAGTTATATCCAACGTAACGGTAGACTCGCATCTTCTCATTCAAAATATTTCAAGTCTGATATATTCCGTCCTATTCATTTCCCTGCACAGTTATGTTGACGTCCATTATACCTGAAGCAAAAAATAGAAATTGCTCTTCAAGAATTATACAATATCATTCCATCCTTCATGTTACTTTTGTGCGATCATGTACTTTTCCACTGTTATTTTATTACTTTTTATATCGTGTTTCTAAGCCTTCTGTATATATATTGAATACATCACTGATTTTTGTACTGTACCTACGGTCTCTATGAAATAGATAGTATTTTATAGTAATTTGCTCGAAATTTTGACTGCATCATTTTTTTACTGCTATGCATTTTCCCGTTACATTATGATTATGTTGCTGTGATTGCATTTTACCTACGTTGTTTTTAATTGTTGCTGTTTTCACTTGTTTTGACTGAATCACTGTATAGAATTGACATGTACGGCTACATGCTGGAATTTAAAGTTACAATAATATAAATATACATACTGTATATATCATAATTGGTTTATACATTTTATACAGGACAAACAAAGAGTTCTCCACATATACACTGGTTTACAGAATAATACTATTTTATGCTTTTGTAATCAACTGACATACATTATTTATAATATCGTATGCGACCATGTCTTTTGGTCTTGATTTCCTTGTTAGGGAATAATACATGCAAAGGAGCAGTTTGCACTTTCATGTGAATTGCTCCGAGGTTTTCATATACCATATGAATTTCCTGTTCCTAGTTTTTGGAAGTTTTTGCACTGGCCCCTGTAAATAAATCTGTATTGGCCGCATGGGACATTTACTATGACACATGCTAGCAACAACACACTAAACTGAAGAGTGCTAGAGTAATAATATAGACAACGCAACGCATAGATATGAACGCGCGCAACTAATTATAATTAAGAGACGTCGAATAATTACCGTTTATTATCGACAGAAGAGGACTTCTATTTTCAGCGAGGTACAAGAATGAGAGCTAAAAATGCCAAAGAAAATTACTAAATGGTAAAATATTGTTGTTGTCATTTGTAATAAACATAGAGACAAATCTAGCAATCAACTTGGTTCTGTATGCTTGTACCCCATTTTAACAATCTTTGTTCAAACCAAATTTGTGACTTGCTATTTGCACAAAACAGCATTCCTGTAAGTACTGAAAGGGTAACAAAGCTAAAATAGGGTTCAAAACGTGGGTAAATAGAAGTAATGTTAGTGCCGTGCCCACATCCTAAACTGAATAAAAAATGTTTTCCTTCTTAATTAACGTAATACTCCAAAATTTTGAATGAAATATCGGGGTTCATAGGAGGTGACCGTAAATTTGAACCCATGTGTATATCCGCGGGTTAAATCTATATGCGGGTGCTAAAACCCATGGGTTGGGGTTAGTATGGGTTCAAATATTCGCAAAACAAATAAAATTCCATAGATAAAATAGTATGCAGGTGCAATTGTCGTGGGTTCAAATGTACGGGAACCTCATAGGACAACATGAAATGATAGCCTGCTTCAAGCAACGAGTCTAAGATTGATTGATCTATTAGTTCGGGAGAAAAAGAAAGATTTCTCCCAACAGCAAATAAAACAATCACTCCAACAACAACTGCAAGCATATTATAGAATAGGATTTTACCTATTTATCCCGTTGGAAAAAACTGGCTTAATCAAGTGGAGAAACACCGTTAACATGCCGGGTTGTCATAATCAAGTTTATTTTTTCAACCAATTAGGCAGCTATTTGTTTTCGGATAACTTACACGGACTTGATGATGGAGGAAACAGTAACCGGCCAGCGGTTACGTGAACCACGCTACGGAGGCGAGAAATCCGACAATCCTCTTCTCCGCGGAATTCGATCCCGCGAATCCACGCAGGTTAATCAGAGATAAGGTGGTCAGCATATTCTTAACGCCACACCGCTGACAATTTAGCAAAAAGATCCAAGGGTCTATTTCGTGTCCAATAAATATATATACTACACCGTAATTTTGTAAATCTTATCATTTCGACTGGAGCATTTGGTATATATTTCAATTCACGTTAAGACTGGAGAAATGAATCATTATCGCCACAGGACCTGGAAAGCTAGAACAATCCGGGTACCGGTATGGGTACCCTGGTATAAGTACCAGTAACTGTAGGCATGTAATTTTCGAATATTTTATTTGCGAATCGAATTCCGAATCAGAATATTTTGAATTTGATGTATGTTTATTTCCCTCGAAAATGTAGCAGTATCTGCATAATATTTAAACGGTATAACAAAGACGGGATACATGTTCAAGACCTTACTGGCCTAAAACACGGATGTGCGACATGAACCAACATCATATTATCGTTAACTTTGAAATAACTGGAAGATAAATTGTGATTAAAGACTTAAGGATGCATGAAGCTAGTAAAAATACATTGAATGGATGCATAAATTACCCAATATATATATATATATTATGTTTTCACTTAAATTTTCGCTTACATACTATAACGGAGTAAGTGTTCGTTTTCTTCTAAAATTGAACTTCAAAATTTATCCAAATGATGGTTGAATGTTTTTTATTACTGTTTGCGCCATAACTTCAAAAGAGACATTGATAACGGGAGAAACATCGCAGATCTATGTCTTAAAAAAGAATGCAATGATGCTGCTATTATATATAATGATATTACTACGGTACTTTTATAGAATGACATATTTCTAAAGCTTAACATTGAAACTTCGCATTAATTCTCAAAACCATTGGTTTCTTTAAAAAATGTGACCCATATAATAAACAAAAAAAATTAAACAAAACAAGAGGATGACGACTCTGGAAAAATTGTAAACGCAAATAAAAAGAAAACGAACTGAAGTTTTTGATCGATGTTGAAACAACGCCGCTTCGTTGTGCAATTGCCTCGCGCTGCAAGAATCAGACCGTTTCTTCTGAAATTGCTCTAAACCGATTCTAATTGATGTAGATTCAAATAGCTTGAATTCAAAATTTTGAAACATACACCTCTGCTGTTCCACAGTACCAGCCTCATTCAGGATATGATTTTGGGGCGAATTGTAGCTAAAAGAATTCGTTTTGGATATCGTGACCGGTTCCATTACATTTGAACCCACGTACATTTGAACCCATGACAATTGCACCTGCATACTATTGCACCTATGGAAATTTTTTTGTTGTACGGATAGTTGAACCCATACTAACCCTAACCCATGGGTTTCAGCACCTGCATATTGATTGAACCCGCGGATATAGACATGGGATCAAATGTACGTGGGTTCAAATGTACGGTCACCATCGTGACCATTTGTTATTAATATTATTTGGCCACTAACAGGAGCTAAGTACTCGAGAACGACCATTGACAATTCTGCTTAAAGTGTAATGCTTTAAGTCGTTTAATCTTGCTTTAGTGCAATTTTGTCCACTTCGATAATTTCATTCAGTTTGATCTGGCATCCGACGGTGATTATATGATATCATCTACCCCAGTGGTTCTCAGCCTTTTACTGACTGGGTACCACTTTAGTGTATTTTACTCTGGCGGCGTACCATCGATAAAACCCCCTTTTTGGGGTGGGAATACAATGGCAAAGGGAATGAGATATGGGCAAAAACCTGCCCGTCTCGTTTCGTTTTATGTGGGCAAAACGGACGAGGGCGATCTCTAATGACAAGAACATATAGCGCTATAAACCCGTTCAGCGAATACGAACAGTATGGAAGATAAAGCGTTGTCGCCATATTTTAGCCGACTTAAAAGTTAATTATTGCAATAATTCAAAGCTGCTCACGTACAAAAGTACCACATGTTGAGAACCACTACACCTTTACAATGCCTGAATCAGTGATTCTCAACCGCGGATCTCAACCACTCGTTTTTAGTTCAACCTTTTACTATGATGTCATAGTGTTTGTTCGCCCAATGTTTATCCCGCGTTTCAATATACAGATTTCAATGTTTTTCAGTAATCACAAGCATGCTATATACAAGCAAGTACCCTGTGCAAAGTTTGGGTATTTTTGAACAAAATATTTATTTGTTAGTTTGTCGAGACAAAATGCCAAGTAAACTAAAGTAAAAAAGCTCGCACTGTTTATAAATATAATCGAGCGTTACAGTGTGATTAGAAAGACAAGTATTCCCTAATTGCGATAGATATCATTAGGAAAATATGAAGCTAGCTAGTTACTGTTATAGTATATTGCTGAATAATGTATCCATCACATTTGCGCCTTGCTTCTTCAAAATTAAAAGTCGAAGCCAATGTCCAAGTCAAGCATCAAAATGGTTTTTATCTTGAGTTTTGTTATTTTGAAATACATACTTTAGTTTTGTTGGTATTTTAATTTGCGTTGTTTTTTATGCGGCTCTTTACAACCTTGGGTTTAGAATTTGGCTCTGGCACTAAAAAAGATGAAAATCCCCTGACGTAAATAGTACAAGGAAAATAACATTTTTAACGCAATGTATATTTTTAAGCGGTATAGTTTTTTTTTGTGTGAAATGATATTCTGGATATATTATAGAGAGGATAGCGCGTTTAGCGATTTTCGAAGAAAGCGTACCATAGTCCAGTAATTCTCAACCTTCTTCGATATATTGCTCTCTTTAACTATTTTGGAATTATTTATTCCTCTCGTATGGTATGGTCCCGTATTCCTCCCGCCATGGTCTCTCTAGATTTAGATGTTTCTTTATAATAGATCAATTTAGTATGCCTGGACGATTGTGTAGCTCATACAGCTGCTCTGACTTCGACAGAATACTCGATTCAGCGAATTTGTCAGTTGAGAAAGTCTCACAGAAGCTTGCCAGACATCGGACCGTATGGGCCACAGATGAGATTATCACCTCGAAGGAAAATATTGGGACGTGGAGCGAACGCAGGCGAAACACCCGTTCTATTACAAAAATGCATGGAGTGCTTCGAAGGCATGAAATGAGGGCCATTTATGGTGAACGTGAGCCGCCTATTGCTAGACAAATGCGAGCGAAATCTTTGTTATTTATATGTAAACTTTTGAAGAATATCTTGATGGTAAGCGCTGATCGTCTCTTCAGTTCTTGAATACCGCTCTATTTCATTCACTTTTAAACAAGACGTGGTCGTTGGTGACAAAATTCTCCATTCCCGTTCTTACAATTCTTAAGCTTCTAACTATAGTAACTATGTAGGATTGAAAGTAATATTTGTTTTGGATATCATTCCCCATTGCCAAGCCCTAACCCGATAATTATAAACTAAAAGGGTTATGTTTTATTTTTTCATCCTATGACCTAGCACACAAATATTAATAGATACTGGTATAAAATTTAAAGGAAAAATTTGAGTAGAAAGCTCTCCGAAGGTAAAAAGTATAAAATCCAAGGGTATCTCTGACGTATTCAAGTTGCCATGGAAAATACAATGTGTGTTGTCTCATCTATTGGCAATCCCAGGGATAAGCCTGATGATATATTGCTGCCAAAAAGTGTGATAGAGCAAAGAAATTCTGTTGGTTTTGAAAACAAGTCAACTAATTTGCTGAAGATAAAAGTCCTATTAAGACTATAGCGCTTTTTCACCTCTGATATTTCTGCTATTTTTGACATATGAGCCTGCGGCCTTTTATTGTTCTATCGAACTTACTCTGTATGTCAGTTCGGGTACGCATTTCTTATTAAACGTGGATTGAAGACGCAATGTTGACATTCGTGTCTCGTTTACCAAGTGCGTTTTCTTCGTTCGCAAACTCCCAGTCGGAAACCAGGGCGAGATTTGCTTCGTTTGCCAACATTGTCCCGGCTGAGGTTTTTGTCGAGCCCGCATTACTATTTTATTACCTGGCTTTGAAACACTAGAGTAGTGAAAGCGATCGAGTGTGGTTTGCGGCAGTGATTGTTGGAATGTAATCCATTCATTTGTGTTTCGCCAAATTTCCTTAACCTTAAAACGAAGTAGTGAGAGAATGTTGTAGGGAAAAAAATATTT